GGTGCTTTCTGATCGCCTCAGCTCTTCCCGCCCATCCCGTCCTCCCTGGCACCTGTGGTGACTGCCCCCTCCCCTTTCCAGGCAAGCCGAGCACTGGGACTTCACGTGGGTATTTGGTAAAGGAGGCTCTCTGTGACACGCCCGCCTCTGCCCTGTTCGAGGTCATGCGTGGTAAAGTGGCCCTAGCTATCAGGCTAATGTTCTTGGCACCAAGCTATGTCACCTGTCTCATGCCAACCCCTCACGGAGCCGACAAAAGCTTGTTCCCGACTCCTGCCAGCAGGGCGATGATGTGGCAGCAGCGACGACAGCTTTGAAGGCGTGGAGGGGGTGACTTCATACCCAGGCTGGCCACAGGAATGAGAGAGCGACACTTGACCTTGAACTGCAGCCTTCGGGTGCCGCTCCTGGCAGGCCCGATTCTCTGCGGGGCTTCAGGGTCACTCAGATGATCCAGCCAAGCCGGCGGGCCCTAGTCCAGTGACACCCCGTAACCTGGGGGCATCAGACGTTTCTCCTTGTACATTACTTTTACTTTGAAGGTTTTCAATTCTAATAGAAATGGTAGCAAAACCAAGCTGGGCAGTTTAGACACGGAGGAATCTGGCAGCGGTGAGGAACACAAAGGCGAGTGACAAGGGAGGGTGTGGTCAGTTTCTCCCCCTCCCGCCAACCCCCTCCCATCCCTGGGTAAAGGACTTCAGGTTGATGCAGCTTCCCACTTAAGTGCAGGAGATTCAGGCGCCCAGCAAACACCAAACTCCATGTCCTTGAAGAGCACTAGTGAGTAAGCAGTGAGGGTCAGGGTAGGTCCCCAGTCCCCATGCAGAGCCCAGGAAGGTCAGAGGAGCTTCGGAGTAGGTGGCTTTTAAAAATGAACAGGCTTATCTCCGAGCTAGAAACCCTTCACATCTGCACACTCTTTCCTCCCGGGTTCTCCGCATTTGGTGGGGAGGGGTGCCCTAAATTCCTCGCTAGAAGTGCGAGGGATGGGGGCAATTCCCTTCCAGTTTGTAAGAAAGAAATCATAGGCAAGGCCTTCTGTTTTTGTGATACTATCGATCAAACCCAGGACCTCACACACATGCCAGGCAATGCTCTACCAATGAGCTACATCCCTAGCCCTAAGAATAGACATTTAAATACAGAACAGGGGCTGGTGAGATGGCTCCGCGGGTACAGGCCCTTGCAGACAACTCTGAAGACCTGAGTTCCATCCCTGGAATGCCCAGAATCAACTAAAAAATTTAAATATACAACATAATGAAAAACAGAGTCAGATGCAGTAGCTCGTGCTTATGTGTAACTCTCATACTTGGGAGGCTGAGGCAGAAGAGTTGCTATGAGTTCAAGGGCAGCCACGTCTGTCTCAAATCAAGACTTGTCTTAGACAAAACAAGAAAAAGAAGGAAAAATTGGACAGCCCCTGTTCTTGGGGAACTTGTTCTAGTTGACAGATAAGTTATAGAAATATAAAACCAAAAGCCGTAAAGAAGGTGTGCAAATAACACCTCCCCAGCTGTTTGTCCGGCCCCGATGTCCTGTCGGCAGGCGGGGCATCCCGGGAAAGGGGTAGGGGCAGGAAACTATAACTTAGGTTACTGCCCTGGGGCCCAGGAACTCAAGGGGGAAGTTTTGAAGAGCTGAAGGCTGTGTGTGCGGTGTAGAGGCTGGCCGCAGCTAGAACCCTGCTGATGAGAGCTCACTCAGTGCAGGGTGAAGGCAGTCGAACAGAATTTATGTGGGGAGGGTTCCTAAAGGAAAATTACCGTGAGACTAGCTTTGGGGGAGATATGGGGGTGCTTTTGTCTGAGTTCTGATTCTATTTAATCTTCCCATTTTTTTTTGGTATTGATTTTAGTGTGTGTGTGCATATGGACGCACACCTGTCAGCTCTCTCTTCCCACTATAGGGGCCCTAGGGATCGAACCAGGGTCCTCAGGCTTGGCAGCAAGTGCCTTTACCCACTGAGCCATCTCTGCAGCCCCTCAGCTTGTTACTTTTTGTCATTTCTGTTGTATGTGTGGGTGTTTTGCCTGCCTGTGTGTCTGTGTAACACTTGGGTGCCCACTGCCTGCCGAGGCTGGAAGAGAGACCGCAGCCATAGAGAGTTGTGAACAAACCCCTGGTCCTCTGCAAGAGCCGTCAGTGCGCTCCTAACCACTGAGCCATCTCTCCAGCCCCCAGTTTGGTTTACTTTAAATTCAGGAGGAGCGCACGCCTTGGCATTCCAAGTAAACGTCACAGACTAAAACACTATTTTCTTTTTGAAAAAAAAAAATTATCGTACATTAGCTGTACGCAATAATGGGCTTCAAGATGACATTTTCATGTGTGTGTACAATGCACTTGCATCTTCCCTATTACCCTCTCTTTCCCCTCCACCCCACAGGCCCCTTTCCTCTTCCCAACTCGTCCTCCTGGTACTGTATGTTTGTGTGTGTGTGTGTGTGTGTGTGTGTGTGCGCGCGCGCGTGCGCGTGGTGTAGTATGCATGGTGTGTATGTGGTGTGAGTAGTGTGTTTGTGTACGTGTGTGGTATGTTTGTGTGTATGTGGTATGTGTAGTGTGTGTGTGTGTGTGTGTGTGTTGATCCAATGTATTTAATGAGGGTTACTTACAGGACCACAGGAGGGGTTTATTTATAGGAACATGAGTGTCTTACCAGAGGCTCCATCACTGAAAACGTCTCTTCTACCTCCAGCAACCACCAACTACCTAGAGATCCTCAAGGAACGACCGGAGCCCTGTGAGCCTCCCTTCCACAGAAAACTAACCTTTGAGGAGATTCTGAAATAAAATTGGAGCTGTGGTGACACACGTCTTTAATCCCAGCACTTGGGAGACAGAGGCAAGAGGCTCTCTGAGTTCGAGGCCAGTCTGGTCCACACAGTGGGTTCCAGAACAGCCAGGGCTACACAGAAAAACCCCATCTCAAAACACCAAAAATAAATAGAAAACAAAATGGAGTTGGGGACTTTCAGGAACTACTGATCTATGCAAACGTTGGGCTTCTGCGTAGGGATTTATTGTTTATTTTTTGAGGTAGGGTTTCATACAGCCTAGCCACCTTTCCATGTAGCTAGGGTGACGTGGAGCCCCTCCCCCTACCTTTCCAGTGCTAGGACTATAGATAAGGACCCTCCTGGCAAGAGGCAGAATTCCTAAACTAGCCATGAAAATGACATGGGAGGGAGCACTTTGAGCAGGGCAAGGTCTCGGAAGGTATTAATGTCTTTTATTGGATACAGCAGCTGTAGCAGGCTCACAAATGACTAACGAACTTTATACCTGCGCAGACAGCTCAGCCAATCAGGTGCAACCCAGAAAGAGCAGCCTGGCGCGAGAGGCGTGGCGCCCTCCTCCGGTGTAACTGTGGCGCCCCTCAGTCCTTAAAGTCTGTATGATGAATCGCTCTTGAGCCTTGACTCGGCCCGTCTGATCTGCGCTTTCCTTAGGTATAGTTCTTAGACCCCAAATAAAGTCGCCCGGCTTTTACAGTGTGGGGCTGGGTCTGACCTTGCTGTCCCTGGCTCATCTTCTAAATCCATTCCATCACCTTGTCCTCATAATCTTCCCTGGCGGGAACTCCTTGCAAAGTCCACCCCCTAGCTGCTCTTTTCTCCTCTGTCTCCACCCTCATACAGTAGAGCATCCAACAGCCTTCCATCTGTAAGGAGGCTGAGTGCAGGGGTGTCCACCCTCTTCCTGCTTGCTTTCTTCTATTACTATTTTACCATAGCATAAACCACATATGATAAGATGCCCACTTCTTAAGCCTGCGGCCCAGTAAGCTTTTATAGATGTTTCTGTGGGGGGGGGGGGTAGAGGGAGATCCCCTCCGTCCTTTGAAAGCTTGCTAAAGTAAAAAGTTGAACCCCCCTATGGGTGAAATCGCAAGGCTGTGGTTATCTACCCAACCACCACTTGGAAGTTTAGGTATCTTTTTTTCTATAGGGGAGGAGAGATTTTGTTTGTCTGTTTTTTGTTTTTCCAGACAGGGTTTCTCTGTGTAACAGCCCTAGCTATCCTGGAACTAGTTCTGTGGACCAGGCTGGCCTTGAACTCACAGAGATCTGCCTGCCTTTGCCTCCTGAGAGGAAATTTTAAGAGCCTTTAAGTGATTATCCGGAAGTGTCTGGTTCTGGAGACAGTCCCTTGGAGTCCAAATGAGCACAGGGACAGTTGCTACCCTGTGTGTGTTCTGGTCCGTTTTTGAGACGGACAATAGGCTCCCTTTAACCTGGCCTCGTTGCTGATAAGGGCTTTCCACAGAGCTCCATCCTCGAGCTTAGGGGTAGCATTTTGAGGTGCTGTGCCTGCAAGAGAAGTGGATTGTCTCCATTTCATGCCAAGTTGTCACGGGAGCCACTCGGCCAAACACTTTCTGGGAACTTTCAGTCCTAGTACCCCTGGATACAAGTGGGCAGGCTTGATGTCCCGACCTCCACCGCTGTTAGAACACGTGGTACAGGCACCACATCCTAGCTCCCTCGGGAGCAGGACCATACACAACCATCCAGGGCCACTGGGGTCAGCAGTAGGGTCCCCCGTCTGTAAACAAGCCCCTCCCCATTGCAGACCTTTTCAAGTGGAAAGAGAACTCTGTGGAGGTTTATCTCAGAATAACTCTATTCTGCCTAAACCTAGAAGGCTTCTGCCCTCCTTCACTGCACCGGGAAGAAACAGTCTTGAACGTGTCACACTCCTATGACAGGACAGGTGCGGGTGTTGCCCTCCTATCCCCTAGCTTAGGATGGAGAAGATCGAAGTTTCTAGAAATGAGGATAGTAGCCTACCATGCTGGGTTCAATCCCAGAAACTAAAAGCAGCAAAATGAAGGCCCAAGGTTTTTTGTTGTTTTTGTTTGGAGGGGGGCTGGCTGTTTCCAAAAGATAATACGCTGAGCTCTTTGAGGTTCCAAATGAAAGCCACAAGAAAACGATGTTCACACGAGACTACTTTTTCTCCCGTGGGGTAGGGGTGGGGGTAGAGGGGGGCACAGGCAGACCCTCCAAGTCCACCTGCAGCATCCGCAGGATCAAGTGATGAGGATTCTGGTCGCCAAGAGGAAAGGCTGTCGTGTGTGGCTCGCGCCGAGCGTTTGGCGCAAGCCGGAGGGTCGTGCTGGCGGGTGGGCTCCAGCCGTAGGCCCCGGGGGACCCAGGGCGAGGCGGGGCGCTCCCCGCGGCGGGACACGTGCGTCCACGGCGCCCCCGACCGCCAGGCGTCCCCGCGCTGGCCGAGGGCGGGGCAGCCGCGCGGCGCTCCCCTCCTCTCCTCCTCCAGCCCGGCCTCCGGTCGACCGCCGCACTCGGCCCTGGGCTCGCTGCGAGCTGCCGGCCGAGCCATGGGCTGCGACGGCCGGGTGTCGGGGCTGCTCCGCCGCAACCTGCAGCCCACGCTCACCTACTGGAGCGTCTTCTTCAGCTTCGGCCTGTGCATCGCCTTCCTGGGGCCCACCCTGCTGGACCTGCGCTGCCAAACGCACAGCTCGCTGCCCCAGATCTCCTGGGTCTTCTTCTCGCAGCAGCTCTGCCTCCTGCTGGGCAGCGCCCTCGGGGGCGTCTTCAAGAGGACGTGAGTGTCGCGCCCCGCGCGCCCCTCCACATCCCCCGCAGCTGCGACCGCCTGCCCGGCTGCGCTGGGTCTTAGCCCCAGGGGCTGTCTCCCTCCCCCACCACAAGCTCTCCCGGAAAACTCTCCCGGGACTGAAGGTGACTTCTGGGCTATTTATTTGCCTTTACTCACCCCTGAGAGAGCTTAAAACCTTTCCGCCCTCGCTCACCAAGCCCACCAGGCAAGGAGTGATGGAATGTGCAGAGATGCGTAGGACCCACTCTCGAGATTTTGTAGCCCCAGCAGCGGAGGTAGAATTGGCACTGAGGCTGGTTGCAAGACAGTTGGTGTTGCCAGCTCAGAGGGGTCAGTTCTCCGTGACTGGATTGGCCCTGGGGTTTGAACAGGAACCCAGTTGTTGGCTCTACTGATAGCTCTGAGTCAATCGACACAGGTGGTCCCTTTGCCCAGGAGATGAGGTCCCTGGGGTCTCCTAGTGGAGCCAGGACATCGCTGCAGTGCTGGCGAGCAGAAGCTGAGCTCTTGGGCCTCTGAGATTCGCATAGCAAGGGCCTGGTAGAGAAGTATAGAGCCTCCCATTCTCTCTCTCTCTCTCTCTCTCTCTCTCTCTCTCTCTCTCTCTCTCTCTCTCTCTCTCTCTCTCTCTCTCTCTCTCCCTCTCTCCCTCTCTCTCTCTCTCTCTCTCTCGTACCCAGGGTCCCCCTCTGAACCCCTCCGCCCCGTTACTCCTCCCTGGCCTTTGCCAGGACAGAGTTCTGATCTCTGTCTGGCAACTCAGAATGACACCCTTTAGGTGCCACGTAGAGCCCCGTTGTCCTGGTTAATTGTATGGTAGCCCCTTTTCTAGAAAGGTAGCTGCCTGCCTCCGTGCTCTGTGTTCAGCTAGGAAGCAGAGCCTGGGAGCTGAGGTTTAACTGGCGTGTACACCAGAGGCTGCTGTGTGGTCTTCCACCTGTAAGAGGAAGCACGGTTGGGACGTCTAGCGCGAAATAAATAATTTTTAAAAGCCGTGGGCCAGAGGGCTCTAGGGCTCAGTCCTCCAGGTACGCCGCTGTGGGAAGATGCAGTACAGATTTCAACATTAAGTGGACCCCAGTCTAAGCAACCCAGAGCCTGCCACACCTCAGCAACTGGAGAGTGACGATTTTCATTTCCCCTAGTTAGTTCCCTTGCAAGAATTCTCAGAAGCCAGTCTTGAACCTATGAGTGTTTTGTTTTGTGGGTTTGGGATAGGATCAGACATACAGGAATTCCAAAGATCTGTTCGGGCTAGAAAATTAATGAAAAGGGAGAAGGGATGTTTCTGGCTGTCAGAGGAGGGGTCTCTTGTTTGGGGGCATTGGGTGTGGAACAGTTGTAACTCACAGATGCTCTGTTGTGCTTCGATGATTTGGAGAAGCTCTCCTTCCTGGAACTTTTTAGGAACATATGTAGCGCACACAGGTAGGGGACTGAGGGTCATTCTACCTGACAGGTTGGCAGAGATACGCCCTCAACTGGGTCCCTGGCATTGCTCCTCTCTCTAGGTTCCTTATCCACCAGGGCTCTGAATAGGCAATGGAGAGAACCCTGCAGCAGGAAACCACAGCAGTGTCAACAGTAGCTACTAAACTATTGTGCAAAAGGCCTGGGCCAGGGCTATTCTTATATCAACCCATTTAATTTTCACCACAACCCTGTAAAGCAACACTATTGTCTCTGTTTTATATCCGAGGGAGCGGAGACACAGGGGGCTTAAGCAATTCACCGAAGTGTACCAATCCCAGCCCACTGGAGGCTGAGTCAGGAGAATCTTGAGTTAGAGGCCAGCCTGGGCTACATAGTAAGACCCTGTCTCAAGCAGCCAAGATAAAATATAAAAAAAGAGTCCAGGCTGTGGTAGCACACACCTTTAATCCCAGCACTCAGGATGCAGAGGCAGGTGGATGTCTGTGAGTTCGAGGTCTGCAGAGTGAGTTCCAGGACAACCAGAGCTACACAGAGAAACTGTCTCAAAGAAAGAAAAAAGAAAAAGGAAGAAAGGAGGGGGGTCTTTGTCCCACATCACACAGTTCCGGGTTTGAGTGTGGACATTTGTCTGTAGTCCCAGGAACTTTGGAAGCAGCTCCTGCCTTATGCCTATCCATGGGCTGCTCTAGAGCTGAGGTTTGGGCAGGAGATGGATATCCTGTTGGTCTTCATGGGCCATGGGCCATGGGCCAGGGTCTTGAGCCCTAACAGTGGGAAGGCAATACATGCCTCTGGGCTTCCTGCTGGGATCTTCCCTAGCCAGGTAGGGCTCTTGAGGTTCAGCTTTAAATCCTGAGTTTGAGCCCTCAAGGCTTCAAGACACCAAGAACCATTTTTCTTTGGTGCAGGACAAAGCAGGGCTCTGGTGGGGAGGGGGGGGCTGAGTGTCAGCAATGATGTCCCCACCTGGCTAACTCTGAGTAGTCTCCACATTCACACCTCAAAGTGAGCTGAGCGGAAGCCCTGCCTGTCCTGAAGTGGAGCGCAGCCTCACCTACCTGCTGAAATGCTAAAGCCCCTGCAAGGAAGCAGGTCTTAGCTTAAGCGATTACCAGCCAGTGTGGCAGGCTGGCACCCGGAATGGGGGATTGCCTTAACAAATCCCAAGGTCCAGCTGTAGAGAGGGTGTGGGGGAGGGCGACACACCAGATGCTTTGCTTTAGGGTTCTGCTTAGTTCCTATCTACTGCCTACTCTGAGGGCTCTGGGCCACAGGGAGCCTTCTGGATGCATCCATAGGGCAGGCATTGGAGTTAGGTCCTCAGGGCAACAGCAGCCTTCCTCCCCTGCCCTTAGCAGAGACAAGGCCATCTGCAGGGCCAGCAGAGGAAGAGCGGTCAGCAGAGCTTGAGCTGGAACCTCCCCTAAGAAAATCTTGGTCAGCACAAAGAGGGAATCTGGGGGCTAAGAGGCACAGAAAGCCACCTGGCTGGCAGGGTGACTAGGCATGTGATTTGACAGAACAGGTAAAGAGTATTTAGACAAAAGGTTAGGGCTTTTTTTGTTTTTTCTTTTTCCTGGTTTTGCGGGACCTGTCTAACCACCCCGGGCAGTTGGGAAACCCCCTTATCTCAGGACATCAGTAGACTGATGCTTTGAGATCTCTGACATCTCCTAGTCTCCCCATGGCTACTTCCCTGCCCTAAGTGGTCAAGGCTTGTGCCAATTGACACCTTCCTTATCTATCTTTTACAATCTAATTCCCTCTTATCTTCAAGTCCCAGGCTGCCTAGATCCAGCTAAGAAACCCTCCTTCCCACCTTTCCTCATAGCCAGCTTGACGTCGTCCATTTGCACCTCAAGTCACTGGCCCCTCCCAGGCCCTGGGATACATCACCATCCGTTACCCTCCCTGGGCTGGCCTCTGACTGGCCTCACTTCCAGAAAGCCTCTGTCCCTTCAACAGCTTGTCCACCTTTCAACGTGTCACAAACCTGTGCCAGAGTCCTACTGGGAGTTCAGCACCAGAGAGGTTCTTGTTTAAAAACATCTGAAAAATCAGGCATAGGGGTGTAAGCCTGGAGTTCCAGTCCTTGGGAGTTAGAGACAGGAGGATCTGGGTCCATAGTTATCCTTCACTGCATAAGGCTGAGCCACTTGAGAACTTGTCTCGGTCAAAACAAAAAACAACAGCAGCAAAAACTCAACACAGAGTTACCGCGAAGCCAGCAGTTCTACTCTGCAGTATCTGCCCAAGAGAAGGGAAAACATTTGCTCACACCAAAATATGCACATAGATGTGCACAGCAGCGTAACTTACAATAAGTAAGTAGAAATAAACTAGTTTCCAGAAGTAGATGGTCAGGTAAATAAAATGTGCCCTAAATAAAGGGGCAGGCAAGCCTGTGGAGCCACATGGGTGTCTCACACAGTCCAAGTGCTGGTCGTGAAATGGCCAGTCATGAAGCCCACACAGGGTATGGTACGGTTCGCACGGGCTGTCCAGCATAGAGGATCTGGAGTGACAGAAAGCCTCATAATAAGAGGTAGGAAGTTGCCTGAGTGTGGAGAACCACAGGGTGACTGCTGATGAATATAGGATTTCTTTCTGAGGTGGCAGAAATATTTTAAATTTAAGCTAGACACAGCAACGCATGCCCATAATTCCAGCACTTGGAGAGGTTGGTTAGATGGGGTGGGAGGTGCTGAGGCAGGAGGATTGTGAATTCTACGAAAACCTTGGCTATATAGTGAGACCCTATCTCACAAAGACAATAAGTGAACCTCAAAATTTAAACTATGATAACGGGTTCATTACTCACAATATGAAAAAAAACAAACAAACACTGAGTTATACACTTAAATAGTTGAATTTTATAGTATAAAAACCATATGTTAAGGTTTTAATTAAAATGTCTCAGTACTCATGCCATGAATTAATGCATCCATCAACAAATGCTTCTTGAGCCATACTCTGTTTCAGGGGTGAGCGCTCCAGACGAGATTCCTGCTCCTCCTAAATGTCCACCCTGGAAGGCAGTGTGTCACAGTGAAATCTGGCAGGGGCAGAGAGTGGCAGAGCTGAGTTGTGCTCAGCGCAGGCCACTTTGGGAAGGTGACATTAAGAACTGGCTCCTGAGGAACAGGTCAGGTTCTGGGGGAGAACAGGTGTTCTTTCTAGGCAGCCGGCCCTAAGGTTTGGGTCTGATCTAAGGCATTTCCCATGGTCCAGCACCCTAGTGAGGCATTGACAACAGGCTGCAGCCACAGCCTGGGTCAACCAGGGAAGTCCTGCCCCCCCCTCCCAAGCACGGACCATGAACAGGCTGACGCATCAGTGCAGAGGTGACTGAGGGTTAGGGAGCCCTTCTTGCCCCCATCAGCCTGGCTGGAGAGAAAATTGCCAACTGATCCTAGTTCCTAGAAGGATGGGCTCTCTGCCCCACGAGGTTGATAGGGGTCCTTTCTACTGTGACTTCCAGCATGCTATGCTCCATCCTTTCCCACGGGTCTTCAATGGAAAGAGACGGTCTGCTGGAGCAGGGAGAGGGGAGGTCCTGAGCATCCTTGTCATGGAGAGGGAGCTCCTGAGGAGAATGGCAGTATCCCAGACCCTGGGGGTGACTCCAGGCCTCAGCAGAACTCCTCCCCAGCTGGGGACAGAGAGCAGCAGGAGTGGGCCCTGCCTGATGGAGTCATGCAGCCCTGCCTCTTTTCACAGCACCAGGAAACCAAGAACAGGTGCCCAAGGCAGGGACACACCAAGGTGGTCACATGTGTACCTGGCAGCCTGCTGAGAGGGAGTTAGCAGCCTATTCAAGGTCACATAGCCAAAGTGGCCCAGCAGGCAATGCCACCTCAGCCACAGCCAACCTGAGGGAGCACGCTGCCCCCCCCCACTGCCGTGTGGAGCCATTAATAAGTAACTCGACCATGTATCGGGCTCCCCGGCATGGGTTTCTTAGGCCTTGGAGGAAAGAGACTCTTTAACTGGTCCAATTTTACCTCTGAGTTCCAGTGGAGGGGCAGGTCAACGGCACTCTTCGGGACGTTTGCCTCCATTGGGAGTGAAGACCCTGGGCTCCGTTCCGCCTACCTCTCTTCCCACCTAGACCTCGGTTCCCTGGTCTTTTAAAGTGTGAAGGTCTCTCAGGTTCTGGCTGAGCTGCTCTAGCTGGTACACTGGGTGGGGCTGGGAGGGGGGGCGCTCCTGGGACGATCCTGGGTCAGCCTGCAAGGATCATTCACAAGAACTGCCCGAAGAAGGCTGGAGTTGGCACTGGTCCCCGCCTCCTCCTCCTCCTCCTTGCTGGCACGTACCCTGGGCCCTGCAGTGATATCGAGGAAGCCCAGGGTTGGGAGGAGGCATGGGCACCGAGGAAGGAGCTGTATGAGGCCTTGAGACGGAGCACTCGCTATCCCCAACTAGAGAGAGGGAAACCAAGGCTCAAGAGGGGACAGGCAGTGGCTGGCTTGGCACAGGTCACACGCTGGGCAGTATCAGAGGTGAGCCTCAAACCAAGTGTTTCTACCACAGTGCCCTGCATCTTTGATTTCAAAGATTTTTTTGAGACAGGGTTTCTCTGTGCAACAGTCCTGGCTGTCCTGGAACTATCGATGTAGACCAGGCTGGCCTCCAACTCACTGAGATCCACCTGCCTCCGCCTCCCGAGTGCTGGGATTAAAGGCGTGCGCCACCACTACCTGGATTCAAAACCTTTTTAACATTATTACTCTTCTGTCTTCGGTTACCCCTATTCCTGGAAGCGCCTATTACCTCGGCCATTTAAGATAGGCAATGCATACACTTTAGTCTGGCCCTGGGGACAATGTATCATTCTAAAGGATTTCTGGAAAGACCACACACACAGCCCTATAGCATCTGGAAGAGTGAGCTGCTGACCTATGCTTTGGCCCACAAACCCAGAACAAATGTGGGCTTAGCCTTCCAGACTCCAACAGCAAGCCTATTCTCCAACCACAACCCAAGTCCTGGCAAGACACACAGGGAAGGGGTTTTCCACGTCTGCTTCCTCCTAGCCTGGGTTCACCCGTGGGTCAAATGGGCACAGGCATGAAGCCCTCCTCCCAGGATGCTCGTGTGTACTAAAAGCCTCTGAGCAAGCGAGTGTCGGTGGCTTTCGCGCACACGGTAGCTGCAGGCATTACCCGCCCTTTCCTTTGCTACCTCCTCGAGCTTTCTTCTGTCACGCTTACTAGATTTTGCTACAAGTCTGAGTGCTGCATTGAACCACTCCGCCCACACCAGCCACACCCCCAGGGTACCCGCTAGACATACTCTAGGCACACAGTCTGCCGCTGAGCCGTTCTCCCGGCTCTCACCCAATTGTTTGGTTTCTGTCGTGTTTCTGATAAATGGTCTTGCTACGTAGCCTGAGCTGTGCTGAACTCTCCATCTTCCTCCTACCCCAGAGTGCTAGGGTGGCAGGCATTACTTCTTCAGAGTGTTTGCACTGGACCTGGTGAGTGAGGTAATGGTAATGGGTTGCTGAACACACACACAAGAGCGGTGTGCCATCTCCATCACGCCTGTGTGCATGGGCAACCCCTCTGTGCTGGGTCCAGGAGAAGAGGCAAATGAGCAGGAAGCAGAAACACCAGCAAACACTGCGGTAGGGCAGCTGGACAGCCAGGGCTAGAGACTGCCATACCAGAGACCGAGGGAGGGCTGTGAGACCGGAGCCTGAACAGACCACCTCGCTCCAGCCACCTCCCTCGTCCTCTTAAGCTTGGCCTGAAGCAAGTGTGACCCCAGGTTCCGAGTGGGAACAGACAAGGGCCATGCACAGTAATCTCCTCAGCAGATCAGCCTGGAAATGAGAAAATAACAAAATAATGAACCGCTGTTATCAACAGAGCTCTTCTGACAAAGGCTTTAATCAGATACAAGACGAGATGGCTGAGTGCCGGCCCAGGGGGTCAGAGTCAAGGGTTGGCAAAAGACAATCTGCTCTACCCCTGGGGATCACCTCTGCCCTTCCGGTGTCCTGGAACCTCAGAGGTGGTCTTGACTCACTTCTCCCCGTAATCTGAGGGCATTCTTCCACAACCCGAGTTTCCCCCTCCCCACAACACAGCACGTACAGTGGTCCTAAATACACAAGCCTTTGGTCCTTTCTCCGGGCAGTTGGTTATCAGGCTAAAGTCACCGCCAAAAGAACCTTGACATGGCTCTCTCATCAGCCCTCCGAAGGCTGTTCTGATGTCTGTCTGAACGGGGAACTGCTCAGACTGGTCTCAGTCGGGGATAGCCCCTGACCTCCGTCCTTGAAGGGGGGGGGGTCACTAAATTACCCAAATTCTGTTGTGGTCTTTTTCCTGGCAGCTTGGTTCTGCCTGGAAACACAGCTGTTGTCAATTCCTGTGTGAAGGGCACATGTAGCTTATCTGGCCCTACTCTTGCCGGCCCAGCTGAGGATTTCCAGACTCAGCCTCATCCTGTGTCCCCATATACCTTTAGATATGTGACACTGGTCCCTTGAAGATGCTCAGGGTAGCCTCCCTGAGAGGGACAGGAATATTGTTTCATAGAACTGCTTAAAGTGAATAATTTAAGGTGTTAGCAACGCAAAGCAAAATGGTAGCTGAGCTTTGGGAGTGCCGGTATGACATCTGGTGACATCCGGTGTACACATGGACGCCATGGGAAGACATTGCTGCACTTAGGACATGAGTTTACTCACCCACCTGCCTGCAACTCACAGCTTGCGAGCAGTACCTTTCCTGCTGGTGGCAGGCAATGGCAAGGGGCAGGGGCTTCCCAGAAAGGCCCTGGGCTCCTCTGCTGACTCCAGCTCTCCCCTGCTCAGCCTGGCCCAATCGTTATGGGCCCTCTTCACCTCTACCCTGGCCATCTCCCTGGTATTCGCTGTCATCCCCTTCTGCCACGATGTGAAAGTACTGGCCTCGGTCATAGCGCTGGCGGGCCTCGCCATGGGCTGCATCGACACCGTGGCCAACATGCAGCTGGTGAGGATATACCAGAAGGACTCGGCCTTCTTCCTTCAGGTGAGCTGCACTGGGGGGCGGGCGGGGGTGGGGGTGGGGCTGGGATAGTGGGCACAGTGCAGGGAGCTCCCCAGCCCCTCCCCTGGGATGGCGGTGGCTCAGCCTGTTCTGATCACAACACCATCAGTAACCTAGCACTTGGGTTTGGGTTTCTTCATCTCTCCAGGGGGCCTGTCTTGTTGGGCTCTCCAGGAACCCCAGTGTTAACAAAAGTTCTCTAAAGAGGAAAGGCAGTGTTACTGAGGGCTCACTGTCTGTTCCCCCGTGTCTCTCCTCCTCTCCTCCTTCCTTCCAGTCACCAGTGCATGTGGCTCACAGTTCAAGGGGGAGCAGTCCCTGACGGCAGGGAAGGAACGGGGTTAGGAGCGGCTCAGTCCTTGACACCGACCGGGAAACAGAGAGGGGAATGCCAGGGCCTTGCTATTTCCTTTTCCCTTTTTACCCAGCCTCAGCCCCCAGCTGATGGGATGGCGTCACCCACATTCAGGGAGGGTCTTCCCACATTAGTTAAGTGGCCCTGGAAATGCCTTCACAGACATCTCCAGAGGGGAGCTTTCCTAGTGCCCTGGGTATGTCTTCATCCAATCAAGCTGATGTAATTGACTACCATGACAGGCACAGCACCAGTGTGAATAAGGCTGGGGAATTAAGAGGGAGGAAGGATTGACTTCTGCCACACCCCAGGCATCAAGTATGTTCTCGACATTTTTCCTTCCCCCTCCTACTTCCTGAGTCTTCCTCCCAACTCTAGGGTCAGCCAGGGGGACCCTGGCTGGGGCACAAGGTAAAGGGGAGGGGGGGCTGCACCCTCTGGATGCAGGTCCTGGACCAGGCTGAGTGGTGCCCACCCCTCACCCAGGTCCTCCATTTCTTCGTCGGCTTTGGTGCTCTGCTGAGCCCCCTGATTGCCGATCCCTTCCTGTCAGAGGCCAACTGCTTTCCTGCTAATAGCACAGCCAATGCCACCTCCAGAAGACACCTGTTCCATGCGTCCCGGGTCCTGGGCCAACATCATGCAGCAACCCAGCCATGGTCAAACCAGACGCTCCCCAGGCCATCCCCAAAGGATTCGACAGAGAACCACGTATCCTATGCCTTCTGGATCATGGCTCTCATTAATGTGAGTGTATCTGGTAAAGGTGGGGTGGGAAGCTGGGGGACAGCTTCCCAGCACAGAACCTTCAGACCCATGAAACATGCCAGGGCCCACGGTGTGCAGCCAGGATAGAGAAGTGGCCGGTAGGAATCACCCCCAAGGTGTTACAAGCAGTTTTCCCGCAAGCCTGGTCCCACAGTCACACCAGCCCCAAATAACACACAGAGACACTGTATTAGATATAAAGCTGTCGGCCAGTTACTAGTTTCTTATCGGCTAGCTCCGTCTTAAATATTAACCCATTTCTATTAATCTAAGTATTTCCACACGGCGGTCTCATCTTACCGGAGAGAGGGCCCAGACCTATGTTCTCTCAAGTCTCTCCATGTTGATTCTCCTACCTCTCCCTGAATCCTCCTATTCTCTTAGTCCTGCCTATCTTGCTTTCCTATTGGCCAACAGTGTTTTATTCATTAACCAATAAGAGAAACATATTTACAGAATGACATCTCCCATCCCCAAGGTCCCTCACTGTGCCTGTGTTGGCAATCCCCGAGAAAGGAAGGCAGTGAACATGTTTACACAGTGGAAATCAAGGTCGACTTCCGAGTTCTCTGAGGCCTTGTGAAAACCATATCTGTTCCTCCATGACCAAGAGGCCATGGCACAGAGTGGCTCCTCCTCTGGGACCCTTCATCACTGAAGGGGATCTCCTGGACCCTACTCCTTGGGTTCCTGCTTCCTTAGAGTGGTAGCCTGTCAGCCATGGCTGTCCTAGTTTGGTTCTATAACTGTGACAAAGCACTCACCAAAAACAACTCGTAGGAGAAAAGCGTTTATTTTGGCTTACACTTTATAATCCGTCATGGAGAGAAAGCCAGGGCAGGAACCAGCAGGCAGAAACTGAATGAAACGGAACCCATGGAGGAACGTTGGTGGCTACCTTGTTCCCCACAGCTTATCCGGCTTGCTTTTTAAAAAATAATCTTATTTTATGTTCCTTGGTGTACATCTGTGTGAAGATATCCGAACCCCTGGAGCTGGAGTTGCAAACAGGTGTGAGCTGCCATGTGGGTGCTGGGAATTGAACCCGGGTCCTCTGGAAGAGCAGCCAGTGATCTCAACTGAGCCAGCTGTCCCCTCAGCTTGCTTTCGTAAACAACCCAGGACTACCTGTCTAGGGGCAATACCACCTACCGCGTCAAGCACAAATCAAGAAAATGTTCCACAGATACGACCTCAGGCCAGTCAGACGCGGGCATTTTCTCAATTCAGGTTCCCTGTTTCCATGAGAGCCCAGTTTGGGTCAAGTTAACAAGAAACTAAACAGCACAGAGATCACTGACCGGACCAGCTTTGCTACTCAGGCCCATTTGTGTACCTGGCCGAGTCAGCGTTGACTTCTACCAAGGTTTCACCTAGAAACCTCCCAAGCTTTCTAACTCAGGAGGGTCCCCCTGTAAACCCAGGGGGCATTCCCCCACTCCCACCAGGCTTGGCAGTAACCACCCAGGCCCTCTTAATTACCTCCTGATTCTGACCTATCTGGACTGGAAGTGAGGCCATACCAGGTGGCCAATAGTCCGGCTGTGGGAGCGTTCCTGTGTGGGGCTTCTCACTTGGGCCTCTCTGTAGTAGGTGTCCCTAGTCCTGCACAGGCAGTTGGCTATTGCAACACTTCAGGGCAAAGTCTGCATATAGCACTAAAAGCCCCCACCATACCGGGCATGCAGAGGGGTGTCACACCTCACTGGCCGGAGGTCCCGATAGGGAGGTAGGGAGCAGCCTGGTCTCAGCCCAAATAGCCTTCCTTTCCCTGGGCTGGGAAGTCAGGGTGGCTCCTCAGCAAGACACCACTTTCCCTGCGTTCTGTACCTTTTATGCCCATGGCCACCATTTTGGATCAAGGCAGCTCTGAACCTTTGTCGTCCAAGGCATCCCTGCTAGGACTCTGCATGCAGGGAAGCCTGCCCAGGCCCAGGGTCTGTTTTCCCCAAGAAGGTGCAGACTAGAGAGGCTGTTTGCTACAAGATTTTCTGGGTATTCCCTTATTTGTTTTTGTCTGAACGTAAGAAGCCCACCACAGAAGGAATACGGAAGTGAATGGACTGGCTTCCTTGTGCTCACACACATACACACCTACCTGCCTGGCGCTGGTTGGTTTCCAGGGTGGCACTGGTGTCCCTGAATGGGGTGCCTGTAAAACTGAGGTATGTTCCTTACAGCGTGCCAGCCAATCTGTGGTGAAGCCTTTCCCTCCCACCTCCCTAGAAAGGCCTCCTAAGTGCCAGGCCTTGAGTCCAGCCGCTTCCCCTTGGCTTTCTCTAAGGCTGTCTGCTGCTTCCTGTTTCCCCAGGTACTGGAGGGAGAGCTGGGTCTCCCCAGCATAGGGACACAAGTCTCTTGCCACACAGGCCTCCATGTGTGGCCTTACAGCCTCCAAGGGCTATTTGAACTTGACCTTGTTGTTGAATATTGTGAGTTGGGACCACACTTATGTTGCCCACGCTGATCTTAAACCCCGCCTTTGGAGAAGCCGAGACTCAAGGTGTGTAGCGCCACACCCAACTGTGGCCTTGACTGGCTTTGGAGTGTTGAAATAGGCTCTCTTAAGATCTCCCTAGGGAGGGCGTCGCCATGGGCTTGGGTGGCTTTTCATCTTCAGGCTGGGGTGAGCGAGCATCTTTTTAGGGGTACAAGAGGCTCCCTAAGAGCAGTGCTCTGCCAGGTTGGATGTCTGCCTGGCTTCTACTCCTGCCTGGCCCATTGCTGGCTACGTGTAAACACTTGTGGAACTTCGCAATGTCTCCTCCCTCAGCAAAGGACCCAGGCTGCAGCCACAGCTGGAAGGCCAGAAGTTAGACTCGCTAAAGACCTTCCTGGTAGTGAAGGCGATTGAACCAGGGCAGGGACACCTGGGAGGCAGTGGCTGCTTCTCCAGGCAACCTCAGAAGTAGGAGGAGTTTCCTATTGGGCTAGGGAGCACCCTTGGGACTAGGTGGCTCTCTGTGAAGAGCAGAGAGCTGGTTGGGGGAGGGGAATAGGCACTTATCCATGCCTGAGTTTTCTAGCCTAGCCATCACGCTCCTAACTGAGCTCAGTGCCCTCCAAGGATATACCATCACTCTGGCGGCCCAGAGGTAGGAACGTGGAGGCCAGAATCAAACGCCAGTGCTGGCCGTGTGTGGGAACTCTGCGCACACTGTCCAGTTGGCCTCCCAGGTCTCTTCCAGTCTTAACATATGTGGCTCTACAATAACCTTGAGCCTTCTGGAAAATGAGATAAAAATCTTCTCAGCACATTTTCCCCACCCCTTGATAGTGCCAGGGATAGAACCCAGAGGCCTTGTGCTTGGTAGACAGGCACTGTTCCCTGAGCCAGAAAAGGGTGTCGGCGCCCCAGGAACTAGAGTTACAGACAGTCGTGAAGCACCATGTGGGAGCTGGGGACTAAGTCCAGGTCCTCTGCAAAAACAGCACATGCTCGTTCTTCACTGCTGAGCCTCCTTCCCAGACTCCCACCCACAATCACATTTTATAGAGCTGTGACTCACAGGACCAAGAGACACTCTGCTGTAGCAGTATCGGGAGCAAGGGCGTCAGCAGACAGTCACCCAGAACCTGGCCTAAGTAGCAGAGGACCCTTGTTAAGTCCAGGCTTTGAAAGGCTCCCCTCTCTCCTGTGAGAAATAGGCCATCAGTGCTCACACCGAGCCTGTGTGGTATTCATATGTCTGGCTCACGGGCTGGCAAAGGCCCTTGGGTGAGGTGGACAGCTTGGACTGGGAGCCTGCCGCATGGGCCAAATGTTGCAGGCCAGGCCCGCCTGACCCTCTGCTGCCCTCAGCTCCCGGTGCCCCTGGCTGTTCTGTTACTGCTGTCCAAGGAGCGGCTGCTGACCTGCCCCCAGCGGAACCCACTGCTCCTGTCTGCAGACGAGCTTGCCCTGGAGACCCGGCCGGCTGAGAAGGAAGACACCCCCTCGCTGGCCCCCAAGTTTCAGCCACACCCAGGTGCGGGCTCTTGCCATCTATCCAGGCTGCTCTACTAGAGGAGGTGGAGGCAGCAAGCAGCCCCTGCCGCTGTCCTAGCTGGGTGAGCAGAGGGGAGGGAGCAGTTGGTCAGCCCCGCCCTTCTGTGCCTCCTTCAGGGCAGGAGGACCTGTTCGGCTGCTGTCAGAGGAAGAACTTCCGGGGAGTCCCGTACTCCTTCTTTGCTATCCACATCACAGCCGCTCTGGTCCTGTTCATGACAGACGGGATGATGGTGAGCCTTCCTCCGAAGGCATGCTCTACTGAGAGGCCTCTACCCCGACACCCAAGCCTGGACTGGCCAGAGGAGAGCAATGAACCAGGGTCCTGCCCATCTCCCACAGCCCAACCCTCTGCTCCCACCAACTGCCTTTATTTTGTGAATCCCAGAGAGGGCCTGTCTGGTATTTTGTTTGTTTTATTTCCAATTTTGTGTGCCCCCCCCCAAAAAATTTTTTTTCCAGTTTTAGGTGCTTTGCTCTGTTCTGGCCGAGATCAAATGGAGCCTAGGCAGGTTTTGAACTCTTCATCCTTCTCCCAAATGCGCCATACGCAGCTGTGACCCACATTTTTTGAAAGCTCACAGCCCCGTTGCCATGTGAGGGGCCGCCCTATAGGGTGCGCTCGGCCTTCTTGGCATGCGCTACAAATGGAGCTTCCCAGGCTAATGTCATACACCAGCCACACTCCAGCCCAGCTGCCCATTCAATGGGTGACCTCCTTTACTCTAACTCAGTGCCCTTTCTAGAAGTCTTCTAAGTCAGGGACGTCTTGATCGGCTGAGTGATGGACTCCTGTGGGAGGGGCACTCCTAAGGGAAGACCCTATTCACATGCCCCAGCCCACAGCAGACCTGCTGGGACTTGTGCCACTCTAGGACGAGTGCGGACCCATCTCCTCTTTCCTTCATGTGTAAAGTGAGGTTAAGCCCTTTTCCTTCCAGCCACTGTGGTACCCATCCTGTCCTCAGCTTGAGTGTGAGTGTGCCATGTGATCTTGGCTCCCAGGGCGTCTTGGGCTGAGCCACTAGAGGCATTGATGTGCCCAGTGAGGTTTTCCCTGTCCACTCTCCACAGGGTGCTTACTCCGCCTTTGTGTACAGCTATGCTGTGGAGAAGCCATTGTCTGTCGGACACAAGATGGCTGGTTACCTCCCCAGCCTCTTTTGGGGCTTCATCACCCTGGGTCGGCTCATCTCCATCCCTGTGTCCTCCAGAATGAGGCCAGCCACCATGGTGTTCATCAATGTGGTAAGTGACCAAGTGGCCTCCTCTCTCTTCTTAGAAACACAGACTTTATTCCTGGCCTTGCCGCTGCTCAAGACTGTTCAGGACTGTATTCTTCCAGAGCAGGAAGGAGGTAGAAATGGAGGAGGACAGATATTGGCAAGGCAGGGCGGAGTAAGGGAGAGGAGCCTGCTGTGTAGCCTTGGGAAAGTCCCTCCCCGTCTGGGCCTCTGATTTTGCAACCTTAAAAGCATCGACAGAAGAGACAGTGGGTGATTACTATGGAACAGAAGGCAGAGCCTAAGCTGACATCTGCCTGGGGGATGAGGGTCTGTCTCAGCCCTGTCCTCCTGGACTTCCCACGGTGCCCCGCTGTTTAGCAAGGCTTTGGGGTCTATGCTTCTGGCCTGACTTGGGATTTGCCTTTGGCAGCTCTCTCTGGGAGAGTCTCAGACGGCCAGACTAGCATGTTAGCCAGGCAAAGGGACTGGCTTGGCTGGGAACAGGGTCTGGGCCAAGCAATAGATAAAGAAAGAGCCATGTCACCACCTATGACAAAGGGCTCCAGACTACAGAACCCACAGGGTACCTGTAGGTCAACCTTCCACTGAGGTGTGGGTCATTGCTGTGACATCCCTGCCAGTCTCTGTTTAAATAACTCCAGGGACCGGGAACTCACTACTTTCTAGGAAATCCACTGTAAGAAAGCACTTCCCAAGCTGGAGAGATGGCTCAGTGGCTAAGAGTACTAGCTGTTCCTCCAGGGGACCCAGGTTCGATTCTAGTACCCATAGGGTGGCTCACAGCTCTCTGTAAATCCAGGTTCAGGGGACCTGACACCCTCTTCTGTCCTCCTCAGGCAGTGCACACATTTAGTGCATAGACATCTAAGCAGGCAAAACAGCCTTACACATGACATTAAAGCAAAACAAAACAAACAAACTTAGAAAGAAAGAAAGACTTCCCAGGTAGGAGTATAGTGGTGCCCTGCTACAGTCCCAGCACTTGGAAGGTGGAGACAGAAGGACTGAGTTCAAGGTCAGCCTGGGCTACATAGAGAGAACTTGTCCATGAATAAATAAGCAGTAGACACAGCACTTCTGGCTGTGGTCGGGGAGATGTTCACTCTTGCAGAATAGTTGAGGGAGGGAGAGGGTTGGGTGAGGGCAGAGCTAGGCAGAAAGGTTCCCTGGCGTTTCATGGGGCAGAATGAGCAGGGACTTTTCTGAGTGGGGAGAAAGGGAGCAGGATTCAAGGAGGAGACTGGAGTGAGAACATGTAGGGATGGACCCTGTCCATCACTACAGTGACATGCTTAAGGTAACAATAAAGGGAAAAAGGGTTAGTTTGGCTCTGGCTCTGGGGTGTTCTAGACTATGATCTAGTCTATGGGATGCTGGAGAGCAAAGGCTGGAGTAGGGCTTGGCATATTATTCATGTCATGAGCCAGGGAGAAAGGACAGAGAGGAAGGGATACTCCCCTTCAACAACATGCCTCCAGTGACCTCGGGATTTCCCATGGGGTCAGGGTCCCACTACCTATAGGTTCAAGCTACAAAAATACCCTAAAAACCCAGCCTTTGCCCCTTTATTCATTTCCTATACGTAGAGTCGTCCTTGATGGTGCCCTGAGCCTAAGACTCTGAGCCAGTCTTTAACCAGAACACGGCGGCAGTTGACTACCCTGGGGTTTTCCCTCCAGCACACCAGTTCTCTCCTTTCTCCTAATCATTAAGCTGACGTGCCCAGCCCCGAGGGTTCCGCCACCCTGACACACACAGCTCCTCACAGTTAAGTTGCTGGGCAGAGAAAGACAGGCAGAGGAAACCACATCCAGTCGGGGTCACGCTGCCAGTGGTCCAGGTGATTTGTGCCTATGCAGCAGTTTCGTATGTGTGTCTGGAGTTCTGGACTAACATCTTCGTTGTAAGGACCGTAAGTGCCCCTTGCATGGAGACATCTGAACCCAATGGGATGTGAACTGAGACCCCAGATAGAATCCTGGCCATGCTCAGGAACTGAGCAGAGAGAAAGAAGGAATAAACAGAGCTGTGGGGGGGGGGGTCATCTGTGCTAAAGCAATATGTTATATTTGAAACCATAGATTTATCTGTAACTTCTGTTCCTTTAATTTAGCAGCAGCAGCAGCAGCAACAGTAGTAATAGTAGTAGGTGTGTGTGTGTGTGTGTGTGTGTGTGTGTGTGTGATGTCAGGGGTTGTGCCTGGATCATGGGATGTTTGTGGAGACCATAGGACAGCCCTGAGGAGTTGGTTTTAGCTTTCCACCTTCATGAGGGTTCCAGGGGCTTGTGCAGGGGTGCTTTGCCTGAACGTGTGCCCCTCACATGCCTGGTACCCACTGAGGCCATAAGAGGGTGTCCGGTTCTCTGCAACTGGAGTTACAGAAGACTGTGAGCCATCATGCAGGTTCTGGGAATCAAACCCAGGCCCCCGGAAAGAGCAGCAGTGCTCTTAACTGCGGAGTCATCCCCCAGCTCCTCCACTTCAGGGTTGGTTTGGTTTGGTTGAGACAAAGCCTTACTGTGTAGCTCAGGCTGCTACAAACGCATAATCGGAGTCCTAAACCCTGGGATTACAGGTGTGCACCATCACAGCCCTTTGTGTTTTTACCACAGGGAAGAAGGCCTTGAAGTGGCCTCTCTGTGGGGAAGGGGCAGGCTCATTTTCAGCCACAGTTTCTTTTTGACTTTCTCTAGGGCAGGAAGGGTAAGTCTGAGGGTGATTCTTCTGAGGGAACTTGAGGCAGAGATAATGGGGTCCATGTGCTAGCGTCACTAGCGTCCCTCTTGGGGGGGGGTTAAGCCCCCCCAAGGTCTGCTGTGACTCTCCGAAGGTCAGCCTGCCCCAGTCCTCCATCTGCGAATGGAGGAGGGGATCTGGTCTAGCTGTGGTTACTTTTGCATGATTTTTAGGTCTGTATATTTATTTTCCTAGAAACAGACACACAAACACTTCCTAGGATACTATTTATTCTGTGGTGCTGAGGATCAAACCCAGAGCCTTGGGCACCCCAGGCTAAGTGTTCTAACACTGGCCTACATGCACAGCCCAAACCCAGGAACATTTTCCCGTCCAAGCTAGGACTTGGTAAAGAACATGAAGCTTCCTTTGAGCACAGAGCTGGGGATATAGCTCAGAGGCGGAGTACCGGTCAAATGTGCACCAAGCCCTGGGTTTGTCTCCCAGCGTTTGGGGTGGGAAAACCACTCAGAAGTTACTAGAGTACGAGAACAATTGCTGAAGCCTAACACTTCAAGCCTTGTATCATATTTCACTGCCAGCCTTAGCACTCCCTTGCTAACTCCTGGTGTAAAGATGGAGACTATAGAGTTCATGGAGACAGCTACTTCAGGGCTGCATAGCTAAGAGGCATTCAACGTGGACCTACACCCCGGGCCTGAGACCCTGGCTTTGTGCTGCTCAGCTTTCTTCCCCGGGTGGCTTTTGCATAGGAATCACTCAACACTTACATAAAAACATTTTTAAAGAACATAGGAACTGGGTTATTTTAGCAAAACTCTGCCTTGGCTGAGCCACAAGGATGTCTGAGCATGCAATCTGAGCTGTCCATTGGTTAGCTCCAACCCTGAGATCTAAGTGAAATCTAGGAGGCACCAACCTGGCTCCTGGGTGCCTGTGTAGGATTCCCAGAGGGTGGGGCCCGAATGTCCACCAGCCACCCTGCTGGCTCATGGCTTCCTCACTCTGGAGCCTGGAACTCAGCTGCTAGAGTAAAATATCAACACTTCCTAGAAGAGGGGGCATTAGCCCACCTCCAGCAGCGGGAGGGGGAACGTTGATGACCTGGATTCAGAGAAGACCCTAGGACCAGCGGTGCTTATTCGGGTGATCGCTAGGATTGCAGTTGGTCTCCCCTTCCTGTGCAGTATTCCCTGGGTCCTGAACTAGGGACGGTGCAGGTATCAGTGTGACCACAGGGTGGCGCACGGGCCACACCATTCTCCTGGGGCCAGCGAGGCTGCCCTTTCTCCAGGGTGCCCAGCCTTGTGCCCGCTCTAATTGCACACGCCTCCGCTGTGACAGGTGGGAGTGGTGGTGACATTCCTGCTGCTTCTTATTTTCTCCTACAACGTCATCTTCCTGTTCGTGGGGACCGCAAGCCTGGGGCTGTTCCTGAGTAGCACCTTCCCCAGCATGCTGGCCTACACTGAGGACATCCTCCAATACAAAGGTAAGTGCAGGTGGCAGAGCGACCCAGAAACACTCTCTGCCGTGGAGGCCACCTCCTCTCCTCCTCTCCTGCTCCCTGCTTGCTGTGGTATTCTGGGCCTGGACTTTCTTTCACCAGAAAAAAATCAAAACGCCCCCTGACATTAGAGAGCGGGCGTGTTTGGTCACGGGAGTCCTGTCCATGGCTTTCGGTGTGTCCTGTATGTAACCTGGCAGGCCACAGGGAAGTCTCGCGGCTTCCTTGTCTGTTTCCTTCTTTTCTGTCATAATGGCATGGTGCTGTTTGTGAATCTACAGCGGACATATGGGCTGCCATAGTGTCCTGTGTGTGTTTAACTCAGAAGAAGAACAGAGAAATCATGTGATTGGATGAGTCAATGAGTCAAGTGCCTTTGAGTCTCTGGATCCTCTAAGTGTTAGGGTCCAACACACGACTGAGACACATCTCAAGTCAGGGAGGATTCTTTCGAGCTGTGGTTCTCAGAGGCAGCCCCAGCCTTGATGGAACTGAGGGCAGAGGCAGCCTGAGCCATCCTCGGAACATGCAGGCTCGCTGCTAAGGACATTGCAAAGAGCAGGGGACATGCCCATGAGACACCGTCCCTTCCCCCAGCTCACCCTGGCAGCAGGGGAGGCAACTCCCCGGGGGGCCAAAGTACTCAGACTCTCAGTTAAGCCATGAAACAGTGTCCTCCCGTCAGTTTTAAGGGGTGAACCCATCAGTGACCACGCTACTCCATCTTCCTGTCACTTCTCACGGTCTGGGCTCAAATTCAGCCCCCTCCTCACTGACTAGATGGCATACTGAACAGCGCTGCCATCCGCAGTCGCTTCCTCTGCCTTCGTAGGTCTGGACTTGCCTCGTTGCCCTCCGGTCTCCCCTCCCTCTCACCCCCTGGCTCAGCATGGGGATCCCCCGGAGTTGTACGCTTCATCCAGGGCCCAGGCTCCTCTGGGTGGGATGCCACGGAGCAGATAGGCGGCCTGTTCTGACGGCACCCGGGCGTGGGGACGCCGCAAGGCCACGCTCCCTCCGCGTTGCTGCTGCCGAAGGTCCTCTGAGTGAGTCGGTCTGCGGTCTGGCCACACTAACTACTTGGGAGTCCCTTGATGACGCAGCAATTACTTGGAGCTACCGTGCTTTGGCCATAGCCACTCCTGGTGTGCACCTGCCTCCTCAGCTCTGTGCCCTTCCAGACCTCTGACCTCCATGGAGAGAGTGTCCCCCTCCTTTGTGACCCACTGACTCAGGCCTGTACCTGCTATGTGTCCCATCTCACAGCTTCTAGACCCGTGCTGGGCCCTCCAACACAGCCCCAGAAAGGGACAAGAGAGAGTGTAGGCCTTGAGGACATTGCGGACACGAGCATCAACCCACATCTACATTTGCAGGTCTGTGACCTGGAGTGACCTCATTTCTTTTCTTCTCACTGAGCCTGTCAGTCGCACGGTGGCTCATGCCTGTAAGCCTAATACTCGGGAAGCAGAAGAAGGCAGATCTCCATAAGTTCTAGGTCAGCCAGGGCTACATAGCGAGACCCTACCTAAAAAAGGAGGAAAGAGAGGAGGGAGGAGGCGGCGGCGGCAGCCTACCTCTGCTGGGCAGGGTTGTACCTCAGTGGTAGAGCACTTGCCTTGCAGGTAGAAGGTTCTGGGTTTGCTCCCCAGCACCGCAAAATCAACCCAAAGACAAATGCTCTGCGTGGGAGAAAATGGACAGCTCTTGAATGGCTGGCATCACCGGCGGCTCACAGGGCTCCCTGCCTGCAAGTCTGTGACGCTATTGCTGACGTGCGGAATTGAAATTCAGAGACGGGAGTGAGCAGTGTCCGGTCCAGAAGTCTGAGGGGATGTGAGCTGCCCCGCACTGGGAAAAGGGTGGGAAAGGAAAGCAATGGGGATGGAAGGCTGTAAAAGCGCAAGCAGGGCAGGCATCGGCCTGAGGGGCAGAGCTGGGAGGAGGCAGAACTATCCAGAACTATCCAGACATGTGCTGGGCGCAGGGGCTTCCAGGGCTGGAGAAGAGGCTGCCATTCTAGGCACAGGGTCTGTGGAGGATGTTCTCGAAGGAAAGCTAAACTCGGCACAACACATGACCTGGCGGAGGGCGAGAAGTCTTCAGCGGGCCAGGAAAGGGCTGCATCCGAGAGAGGGAGCAACACAGGTCACACCGTCAGGTTACCCTGGCTGAAGGGTAGCTTGGGAGCCACCAGGGTGAGAGATGGCCTTGCAAACCACATAACGCATTTAGACCTGTCCTGAAGGTGCAGGGGCCTGGCTTCCAGTGCCTGTCCTGGGCCTGCACGCTAGAGAAGGGCACATGGCAAGGGGTGCTAGGCCTTAGACTCCAGGTCTGACGCTTAGGTAAGCGCCGAAGGTCTCGGATCTCTCCGGAAAGGCAGGCAATGGTCAGGCTGAGAGGAGCCCTGAATGCCAGGCCTCACAGCTTTGAACAACTGAAGGGTTGAGAACAAGAAAGAGACATGAGCTGGGCATTGGTGGTGCACGTCTTTAGTCCCAGCACACGGGAGGCAGAGGCAGGCGGATCTCTGTGAGTTCGAGACCAGCCTGGTCTACAAGAGCTAGTTCCAGGACAGGATCCAAAGCTACACAGAGAAACCCTGTCTCAAAAAACAAAACAAACCAACCAAACAAACAGAGAGAGATAGACATGAATAGTAGGACAGAAACATTCTCAAAGTACTCGCAGATCAAAGCCCCAGGTATCTTAGGAATACACAGCGGTCCCTTACACCTTCCAGAGGCATCCCAGAATGCTCTGGATTCTGACAGCTCATTGCTACATCCTCAGCTTGGTCTCATCAAACCTTCCCTTCTTGTTTGGCTAGGCTGTGCAACTACAGTGCTGGTGACTGGGGCAGGAATTGGCGAGATGGTCCTGCAGATGCTGGTTGGTTTGGTAGGTGGAGTCCTCTGGGGGTGGATGTGGCATGGGATGGGATGAGGGTTGGTTGGGGAGCACTCCTTTACCTTTAAGTCCAAGCTATCACTTCCTGAATCCCACATAGCCTGCAGGAACCCACCAGGCTGAAGCTAGCCGTTTTTGTTTCCAAGCCAGCCAGACTCAAAAGCCAGGCCTCTGAGTGTGGGATGTGGAGACCTTAATGACTTAAACGCATGAATCCAAAGCAAACACGGCTGTCTGGGCCCGGGGCCAGGGGCCCCCATGAGAATGCTGTTGGCCCTCAGAGCCCAGATGGTGTGCCTTGTGTCTGGCAGTGTTCTTTATCCATCCTGCCCGGGTCCATGTCTCCCAGTCTGTGGCCATGCCAAGCAGGACCCCGCTCACGCCCAGCACCTGCCCTGCCCACTCCCTGGCTTTCCTTCAACATGCCCATGTTACCTTTGTTTCCCAGGAAATCAAAAATTGACATCAACATTATTTTCCTTGACGACCATACAAGAGATGCCAGGCTTTTTACAGCACAGGAGCCTGAGACATAAATAAATCGAGCAGCTTGCCCTAGGCTGGCTTTGAGAAATAGCCAGCAGTGCTGCCTAGCCGAGGTTTATACCCTCCAAAACCTCCTCAAGCCACTGGAGACCCCTTTCTCTTCAACCCGACAAGGGGGTTGAGCTACATTTTGGATGGCCTCTGCCTTGAAATGCCATGTCTGGGGTTTGATTGGGCATGGTTTCTTTCTTCTTTTTCTATTCTTTCTTTCTTTTTTTCTTTAATTTTAGATAGTTTTTCTATGTAGTCCTGGAACTTGCTATGTAGACCAGGCTGGCCCCGAACTCACAGAGATCCGCCTGTCTCTGCCTCCTGAGTGCTGGGATTAAAGTCATGAGCCACCATACTGGACATAGTGTGGTTTCTTAAGTTGGTGGTCTATGAAAGTTCTATTTGCTACTTTGACGTGTTCTAAATTTTCATAATAAAAGGTCAAAAGGCCTTTCTCTCTCTCTCTCTCTGTCTCTCTCTCACACACACACCTTCTGCAAAGTTTCACTTAGGTTAGGTATAGAAACATCTCATTGTGTTTGAAATTTCAATGATATATGGAGTTTTCCAGAAAGTTCTAGACCATAGAACTGAAGGGGGATAGACAGGTCCAACCCTGGCTTTAGAGCGGGACTTATGTCTTCACCAGACCTGTAACCTTGGGAAGACCGCTCCGACATTCCTGTGTCTGGTAGGGTGCCCCAGCCTGACTGAGGACTGCAAGAGCCGAAGGCAGCCATTTTTCCGGTGCACCATCACGGGGGATTTAACGGCGCTCTCCATGTTCCTCTCTGGCAGATCTTCCAGGCCCAGGGCAGTTACAGTTTCCTGGTCTGTGGTGTGATCTTTGGCTGCCTGGCTTTTATCTTCTACATCTTGCTCCTGTTTTCCCACAGGATACACCCTGAACTCTCATCAGGTAAGGAGAAAATGTGTTCCTACACAGAGGCGGGAAACAGCGGGCTGGGGGGGAGGGCAATCAGAAGAGCTGCTCTGTTCCAAGTGAAGCGCAAGGAAGTGTTTATTTTTCTATGGCTTTCCTTTCCCCTCTTCCTGCTTTCCTTGATTGTCACTGGAGTCTGAAGGCAACAGAGAATAGAACAGGCTGACTCATGGCTTCTCCATTAGCAGAGGGGCACAGACTGTGAACCTGCCTTCCTGCAACTCCTACTGCAGTGGATCTTGGGCCAAAAGTCAAGAGCATGAGAGGATAGAACTTGCCTCCATGGCTGGAGCTTGGCCCAGTGGCCTAACTGGCCACTTCCTTGCAGCCCGAGGTTTTGACTCTGTTCCAAATTGCTTCTTCAAAAAGAAATCTTTTTGGCCAAATGGCGGAGAAGAGTCCCTTCGGGACAGAGACACTCCTAAGAATAGTCTCCCTCTTGGAGACCCCAGGCCAGGATAGTACCAAGGCTATTTTTGTAACTGCATGTCCCTTGCCCAGGGACTATAGCCATGCATTGGGATGTTCTTTGAAAATAGAGTAACACACACATGCCACATGCATGCACACACATGCACATACACAAGCATGCACACGTGTATACACACACACCAACCTGAATAACTACTGCTCTCTCTCACTAAATAGCCATGTCCACTCTAGACGCTAACTACAGATCTGGGCATGGTGGCCCACACCTTTAATCCCAGCACTCTGGAGGCAAAGACAGGTGGATCTATGAGTTCAAGGCCAGCCTGGTCTACATAGTGAGTTCCAGGTCAAACAGGACTAGATAATGAGACCCTATCTCAACAAAACAAAAATAATTAACTATAGAGACCCAGAAGGAGAGGGGACTCCCCCCCGCAGAACAGCCTCTGAGATGTCAGGTAGTAGGGACTATCTAGGCCAGCCTTCTGTATAGACCTTCACTTAACATATATATAATCAAGATGCTCAGCAATGTAAGGGTGCCTGCCACTAAGACTTCTGAGTAGGAGAGAAATGATTCCTGTAAGCAGGCCTATGACCTCCACACAAATACTGTAGCACATATACCCCCAATACACACACTAAATATCCCAATAAAGAGTGTGCCGAAGAAGGAGGAGGAAGAGGAGGAGGAAAAGAAGAGAGATGCACACCGTTATGTCGTTATCAAATAACGCCCAGTCCCTGTGGGTTTTCCCCAGCCCTAGACACTGGTCTCAGATAACTGCCTTAATGAGCACCTCACCAGAATCTGGTCTGACTTCCTGCCTTGTGTGTGTGTGTGTGTGTGTGTGTGTGTGTGTGTGCGCACACACACACACACACTACCAAGCCCCAGAACAACAGAGAAACAAAAAGCGTGTTCACTCTCTGGAGTGCACTCATGTGGAACAAGCTGCCCACAGCTGCTACCTGTGCCGTTTGTTTTCTCTTGTAGTTCTTACCCAAGACAAACCCCTTGGTATGGAGAACTCTGAGAGCTACCAGAGGTGAAGACCTCAGCCTCCTGAGCTACAGGGTAACCAACGTGACAGAGGCCAGTGGTTGCAGAGGTTTCTCCTGCCACCTTGCTTATGTCTTTTCCTTTCACACTTAGCCAAGAAGTTGAGTCCTGGTCCCTGAGTGTCCCCCGGACAAATCAAGCACCTGCCTGGCACTTTAGTGTCTTCCTCTCTGGTTCAGACAATTAGTCCATGGTAACCGGATGAGAGGACAAAAGACAAAGCTCACATCTCTCCATCCATCACCCCATGCATGGGCTAAACTCTGGGTTTGAGATCACTTTTAGTTGAGGTTTGAAAAAAAAAAAATGCTGAAATCATAAAGCCTAATCACTGCTAAGTGTAGATATATTTAGATGTTTTAAATTAATCAAAACCTTCTGGCATGTTGAAAGAGATTTATGTGTCTCCCCTTACCCATGGTCCAAACAAAGTCCCTTACATTCCTCCTGAAGAAATCAGGGAGTCCAGCTGTGTCCTAAGACAGCAAAGGAAATGCTGAATTGTGTCTTGAGACCCTAATTAATTTGTAACTAAGCAAAGGTCATACTCAAAATGCCACCTTCTAATTTTATATAACCAATGCTCCTGAGGTCACCACAAAGGTGGTGGCATTTCTATGTGACAGAATGCTGCTGGGCTCCTTTCAGTGGCAGCCCGCTGGCAGTCCGAGGTCAGCCATGGTAGACAAATGGCAAAAGCTACGCGTCACGGCTGTGCCACCTACCCTGGAACAGATGGTTCTACCAGCATCTCGATGCTAATAAGCAATGCTAATTGGTTCAGAAAGCCCAAGGAGAATGGAACGGATAGCCTAGTTTTCTTTACTGCATCTACAAGGTGTAGAAGCAGCTGCAGTGAGAATTTAAAAAAACAAAAAACAAAGAGCTCATCGAAGTTTTGTACCTTTTATAGAGGAAAATTTTATACTGTGTCAAGGTCTTTTTTTTTTTTCATAGAAATCTAGGACTACTGAATAATTCAAGCCACGCAGTATCTATGGGACAGTAGCAGTGTGCAGAAAGCAGTGTGCCAGGAGTCCCCAGTTATATACAGAACACAGAGGGTTGGCAATGCAGAGAAGGCGGGCATTCGGGCTCTCCCGCCTGGACAAGGCTGAGTGCGAGGTTTCTGGTATGGCTGTGACAGTGACTTCTGGAAGGCATGGAATGGCCCATTCCAGTCATGGGTTTATCTGTGCGTGCTCTGTGTGTACACACATGTTCATGTGAAAACTGAGTGGATCGTAGTCCCAAGGGCTGTATGTAGTTCACACGCCAGATGCCAAGGGGACACAAACCTGGATCAAGTCCCAGCCTCACCTTCTAGCTGTGACCCTGCCCCTGCCCCCCTCCTCTCCCCTCCCCTCCCCTCCCCGCCCCAGGTATTTCCAGCGTGGCATTTCTAAAAGCACCCTACCTCACAGGAAAAAGATTACACGTGTGTGGAGTATTTGCTACATGGGAACTGCCTTCCGAATGCTCAAGTTTTTACTTTTATGACTTTGAAAGCCATGAGCAGTTTAGAAGCCATTCACATTTGGTACAAACTGTAGTTCAAAACAAACTCCACTCTGACACGCTGATGGCCTAAGCAAATCCTTTTTAACTCTATAAATACTGTGAAAAGCACCTGATGCCAGCCAAATTGAAATGTGTGATCTAGCTGTAGTAACTGACCTGGGCAAAGAGAAAAGCAGTTGTATTTTTCTTGTAGTTTTTCAAGAAAACAAAAAATCCTTTTTATACTGATTTAGAAAGAAGAATCACTGGTTATATCTACATTGGTGATGATTAATGTATTACTATAGAAAATAAATTAAAACAAATCTAATACTTTCCTAAAATAAAATATTTTGAACTTGTGTGTTATCCACCATGAAGGACAATTGACCCTTTCCACAGCTCAAATGATCTAATACTTCCCAGAGACAGGTCTCTCTTATAGGTTTACGTGGTGCCCACATGCACACATGCATACATAGTCCTCTTATCTGTGATACGTACATGACAAGCACACATATGTATGTATGTATACATTTGGGGGTTTGGGCAGTGCTAGGCACTCACCACTGAGCCACACTTGTAGCTCTCAAGCTCTTGTCCTTTGAGAGTGTTGTGATGTCTCCCTGTCCCCAGATTCCTTCTGCCGACATGAGAATCTAACCCAATAGAATACCTTGTTCTCTAAAGGAAGGCACAGTAACACAAAGGAGGTTATTCATTCATTTATTTCATATGTGTGTGTGTCTTTTTTCTTTCATATGTATTTTTCTTTCACATATATATGTACATATATTGAAAACGTGTTTATTGGGATGGTTCCGCCTCACCTTGAGTCAGGTGTTTTCAGTGTGTGCCCTCCTAAAGAGCACCCTTCCGTCAGTCTTGGGCTAAACCACGGTGATTTCACAGCTGTAAACTAGCAACTGGGGCTCTGCACCAGGCCCTTTTTGCCGTGTTTCCTCTTCTCCTCTTCTGGAAAAGGAGATACTTTGCAAGAGGCGTGTCCTCGTAGGGAAGTCGTCTCCGCTGGAAGGGGGTCTTTCCTTTTAGAGCAGACCTTACCTAGCCCAAGGATAGACTGACTAGACCTTTATGTAGTTCAAATTACCCTGAACTCCTGATCTTCCTGTTTCTGCATCCCCAGCACTAGGATGACAGGCACGCCTCACCATAGCCAGTTTATGTGAGTCTGGGGATCAAACTCAGAGTGCACGTGGGAGACAGGCAATCTTCCAACCCAGCGATACCCTCCTTTCACAGAGGTTTCTTAGTGATTGCATTTACAGAGGTTTCTTAGTGATTGCATTTACTCATTCAAAACAAACAAACAAAAAAAGACGAAGCACCCATCATGTTCAAAGCAGAAGGTGAGGTGTAATTTCAGCAGTGCATGAGGAATCCCTGCCTCCAAGGACCGCAAGGTCAGAGACAGCAAATAAATCTGTAACATGCGGTGCGTGTTGTAGTACTGTCAAGAAAAGGTGGAGAGGGTAGCCACGGGGATGCCTGGGGATGCTGGGCTGTCTTAGCAGCATCTGTGCTACCCAGGAGCGGCCCAGCTGGGTACCCAGTGAGGGGCTAAAGCGAGGGAAAGGCTTTGAACTGGAATATGTTTCAAAGAGTCTGAGAAGCAGCTGGCAGGAGGGTGTGGACTGCAAAGACAGACAGGTAATGGCAAGAAGCAGGGTGGCTTGGTAGCGCAGCGCACACATACCAGGGTAAGAATGTAGGGTTTCCTCCAGGGGGCATTAGGTGATGGGCGGGATGCGACGCTGGCGCGGTTTCCACGTTTAAAATGCTGGCTGTGGTTTTTTGAAGACGGTGGCAGCCGAGCTGACAGGATTAGCTTAGGTACAACTGTAAGGTTAGGGGGTGAGTGGGCACAGTGGCCGGGGGGGGGGGAGGGGGGGGAGGGGCTTAGTCTGAAGGCCAAACTGGTGGGATCTGTGACGGACTGGGTGTGTATGAGAAAGGCGACTGTCCCAGATGACTGTGCCCGGCTGTGAGGCCATTTTGAGGCAGGGATGCACCGGCAAGACTCTGCTTAGCTTGAACTACACACACGGCACGTAGCCAGTGAGACCCTACCAACATGGAGCTACGCACCCCTCCCTAAATAAAGTAACTGGTCACACTGACCTGGGGCTTCCCAGGAACCCTTAGCAACTCCCTTCTGTGGCCAAGCACAACCTGAAACATACCTGGGAATGCCAGGCAGTGGGTCCATCCAGCCTGGACTGGTTTGGGGCACATCTAAGGCAAATCATGCCCACAATGAACTTTGAGGGGAAATCCCTATTTACCATCATGCCTGTGCATAAGATTAAAACCAAATGCACCATGGGAAAGGGCACGTGCAATGAACGCATCCATACCATGCCTGTGCAGGCCTGTGCAGAGCCTTCAGGTGCTGGCCCCTGCCTTTCCATCTTGTCTAAGGGAGGACTCTTTGCTGCTGCATAAGCTAACTGGCCCAAAGTAAGCTTCTGGTGGGTTTTGGCCTTCGCCTCTCATCTCTGGGTTCTGAAACCGGGGGGGGGGGGGTCACAACCCCTTTGGGGCTGCCTACGACCACTGGAAAACACGTATTTCCGATGACCTTAGGGACCGCTCCCCTCTCCCGGCAGGCCCATCCTCATGCAGGCATGCCCACATGTGAGTACACAGAAATGTATTGAAGGGTTGAAGCTACAGGCAGGTTGAGAACCCCTGGGGTACAGGAAGCCAGGTTTATACATTTTGGCTTTTCCTTGTATTCCGGGGATCTGAACTCATGTTGTCAGTCTTGTGCAGGAAGCATCTTTACCCACTGAGGGTCTCCTGGCTTGGTGCATCTACTCTGTGCCTCACTTCACTCAACAAACTCTCACGCTCCTCAGATTCTCTGACGGATGCCATGAACCTAGACAGGCTCAGTCCAGACAGAGACCGCTGGTACCAGTTTCAACGCTGTTGAATAGAGCTGTTCTAGGGTCAGAGAGATGACATAGCAATTAGGAACACTTGCTCTTCCAGAGGACTCAGGTTCAGCTCCCAGAGCTCTAACCCCAGTTCCAGGGGATCTGCTAATTTCCACCATTCTCTGCAGGCACCTATGTGCTACTCTTACACATGTGCAGGCAGAACAATCATACACATGAAAAAAATGAAAATATGCATACTTTAAATAGCTGCCCAAAACAAGGTTGCCCGATGTGTTGTAGCGCACGCCTTTAATGCTAACACTAGGGAGGCAGAGGTAGGCGGATCTCCTGAGTTTGAAGCCAGCCTGGCTTACATAGTGTCAGGATCAGCCAGAGCTACATAGTGAGACCATGTCTTTTTAAAAAACCGTCTGCATAGGGCTGGGGAGATGGCTCAGGAGTTAAGGGCACTGGTTGCTCTTCCAGAGGGAGGACCCAAGTTCAATTCCCAGCACCCACATGGACACCCTCATACAGACGTACATGCAGGTGAAACACCAATGCACGTGAAATAAAAAGTTTTTAAAAGTTTGCACATCAGTTTATGCTTTATAGAAGTATAAACTTGACATAAGTAACTTACAGTGTTCAAAGCCAAGGGACCAAATGAAATCGCTTAGTTAGTGGCTATAGGGCCTGGGAGTGTTTGAACCCTGGGAGTTCTTCCAAAAGTAGAGGTTGGGGAAAGGCACTGGGCAGTATAGCAAAAATGAGAAGCCAGAGGTAGGGACCAATTCAGGGCCAAAGTGGTTTCCTGGAAGGGGTGTGGAAAGCATCCCGAGGAGAGGTCATTACCAGGACCCAAGCACCACTGGGCCAGACAAGAGAGGAGCTCTGGTTAATGACAGCAGTGTTCAAAATACTTGGGGTCAACACACTTTAGCCCAGTAGCATCACCAGCATCTGCCAGGAGACTACACTGCTGATGCAGTTTTCACTCCCGTGGTGGTCTTTCTCTGTGACACACTCTGTGCTTCTGAGACCCTCCCGATAAAAGTCGCTTCATGACCCCTTCCGCACCGGGTCTACCGTGGTGGGTGGATCTCTCGGGAGTAATGGTCAATGTGTGATCCTGTGACTCTTTAGCGTTGTCTCTACGGTGGTTTGAAAGAAAATGGTCCCCAAAGAGGGTGTCACTGCTAGGAGGTGTGGCCTTGTTGGGGTAGGTGTGGTCTTATTAGAGGAAGTGTGTCACTGTGGAGGTGGGCTTCAAGGTCTCACATACGCTCAAGCTACGCCCGGTGAGACAGACCCTTTCCCGTTGCCTGAAAGTCAAGATGTAGGACTCCCAGCCCCTCCAGCACCATGTCTGCTGCATGTCACCAGGGTGCACCGTGAAAATGGACTAAACTCTGAACTGTAAGCCAGCCCCAATTAGATGATTCCCTTTATAAGAGTTGGCGTGGTCATGGAGTCTCTTCACAGCGATAGGAACCCTACCTGACAGAGCCAGTCCCAAAGAGCCCCAGTGTTACCAGACACCCCAGTAAAACACAGATGGTCCTTACAGTTAGCGTGAGTCTCCAAATTAGTGTCAACAGTTGGGAAGGCCAGGTCAGAAATGGTGGCTTACTTGGGCTTTTCCACTGAAGGACTTGGAGCTTTGGGTGTTCTAAAATACATCCTGGATCTTCTGAGCTTGGGGACCACAGACCACTCTAGGTAGCACATCTGAGAGGGGATGCAGGAGAGGAGAGCCCTTCGGTGTGTCAACTGTGTGGTCAAGCCGGCCACAGAGACATGCCCCGGCCTGTGGCCTGCCGCCAGCCATCTGCTATGCACCTGCTCTCTCTCATGTGCTCTTGCCACCTAGAGGCCCACTTTCCCCCTCTCAAGCCAACTCTGAAAAGGCTAAAATTCACTGCTAACTGAACTGGTCTCCGATTCCCTTCTCACAAGCCATACAAGGAGAGGGGACTGAGGAGGCCCATCACTGTAGTACACATCTGGAACCCTAGCACTGCAGTGGCTGAGGCAGGAGGACCACAGTTCAAGGCTGACAAGGACTACGTAGGGAGCTCCAGACCAGCCAAAGCTAAATGAGACCATCTCAAAAAAAAAAAAAAAAAAAAAAAAAAAAAAGGGGGTGCCAGAGCAGAAATAAGCAGACTGCTCATTCCAAAGGCCAAATAAATGCATCTCAGAGAACACTACATTTTCAAACACACACACACACACACACACACACACACACACTCACGCACGCACGCACGCACGCACGCACGCACACACACACACTCTCTCTCTCTCAGAGAATAAAGGAGGTACCACCAAGCTTTGCACCTGAGTCTGATCCCCAGGACACACATGAATGACAGAAGACAAAAACGAATTCCCCAAAGCTGTCCTCTGATTGGCACGTGAACACCACAGCACGCTTGTACCCTGCACACACATATACCCAGACACAAAATAAAGAAATGCAATAAAACGATTAAAGATTTCACGTGACAAGCCAGGTGGTGGTGGTGCACACTTTTAATCTCCCAGCAGTGGAGAGGCAGAGGCAAGTGGATCTCTTGAGTTCAAGGCCAGCCTGGTCTACAAAGTGAGTTCCACAACAGTTTGGGCTGTTACACAGAGAACCCTGTCTGAAGAACAAAGAGAAAATTCACATGACGAAGTATTTCTAGCCCATCTGTTCTCAGCTCAGTTTCTTCCATGGCAACAATCATTTTGCCATGTCCTCTGCTCACTTCCTCCTCTGACCTGGGCTTTAAATGCTTTCACAGAGACATATTAAGCAGGTTTCAACACCACCCACTGAACCCATTCCTCACCCAATTAGTGTGGGGGAGACTATCAGCATCACTGTGATGATTAGAGGGAGGAGGGGGGAATAAGCGATTCAAGTCATTTTGTTAAAAATATTTATTTTAAAAAAATACAATTGTTGTCCGTATCTAGTTGCACATGTATCTATAAACAGATCTCTATAGCTCTGGACTTGTAGCGAACATGCCAGAGTGTTTTCTCATAGCCAGCTTCCCACACACAAGCAAATACCTCTGTCAGTTCTTACATAAAAGTTCTTTAAATGTATCATTTTCTTAAAATACACATGATCTTTATAGAAGTTAACAAAGCTTTTGCATAATGCTTAGAAGCAACAGAAGGAAGGACCCCAATTGGTTACTCAGGGCGGTCCCTTGTAATGCCTGAGACGGCACCCAGGAGGCCGCCATCTTTTTTGTTTTGATTTTTTTTTTTGTTTTTTTCTGAATAGCAGTGCATTAGAAAGCCCTCAAAGTGCACATGCATCCTTTGCCCCGCCCCACTCCCAAATAAACTCCATGACATTTCTGTCACGCAAAGGCTGAATTCAAGACTCCATACCGGCTTCCCCAACCTTAAAACACCCCTTTGTCTACAGTCAAGTGCTACTGTGTAGCCAGATGAGATGACTTTGCATTCTGTCCAGCTGTAAGAACAAATGTTAATTTTAAGGACTGTTAGCAGTTACAGTTTCAATTGCTTTTTCAGAAAGGAACAGAAGTGATTGTGATACTTTGCAGGTCTCCTTAATTTAATAAACTAAACTAAAGACACGCCATTAGTGTCGCCCCAACAAGTCTTCTTTTGGGCAGGTGTTGCTCGCACCCATCTAAAGATGTCCAAAGCGGTGACCCTGCACTGAGTACTGTGAGATGCAGATTTCAATAACACAAGCAAGGAGGGGTGGACACAGGGGCGACAGTCCCTCTAAGGAGCTGAGACCCTGCGGAGTCCCTTTATCCACCCATCCCAAGCTCACATACACAGGAGCCTGTGCCCAACCCCCATCCTGTGTAAACACCAGTGTGTGTGTGTATATACATACATTGCAATCTCCATGACAGAGCACATGCTTCTTACTAAATTATAGACTAACTGAATGAAAAGCAAGAGTATGTTACTAATGTCATTTACCTTCACAATCATGTTTACACCTTACCATGCACCAACTGCCAGGCCCATTGTGACTCAACCACCACACATAATGTAAAATAAACACGGTTATTTCTCACTGATCACAAGGACCTTGTGTCTCAGGTTGCCTCGAACCTGCCAAAGATGACCTTGAACTTCTTCATTATCCTGCCTTCTCCGTTCCTAGTGCCAGGGTCACAGGCTTGACCCTCCACTCCCAGTTTAAGATGAGATGGGGATCAAACCTTGGGCTATATGTTAGGCGGGCACTCTACCAGCTGCGCTGAAGTTCCACGGGAGATTACTAGGTTGTTCTTAAATGCAGACTTAAGCCAGATGTGGTAGCATTTGCCTTTAGTCCCAGCTACTCAGTAGGCTGATACCTGAAGAGATTGTTGTATCCAGCAGTTTAATGTCAGTCTAATCAAGACAAGACTAAGCTCACAGAAACAAAACCTACTTTTTAAAAAGCCAATTTAATTACTTGGTGAATAAAAGACATAATTCTAAGAAACTTATTTTAACCCAGAATTTTATGTTTAGAACCAAACTAATCAGTATCAAAATGAAAACTCACACGTAGGGCAAGGATGACCCTGAACTTTTCTATAATCCTCCTGCACCTCCCAAGCATTAGGATTATGGGCATGTGCTAACAGTCCAGACAGAGTTTTATATTTAGTCTTTCCCACCCACAAAGATAAACGAAACTGCCAGAAGCAAAGGGAAGGCCCTCAGGGCCACACTGTATGCAGGCCTCCAGGAACTCAGAGATCCTATGTAAGTTTTCCCCTAAGTGTGCACTTTAGCTGATCCCAGGGATGCTCAAAGGGAAGGACAGAAACATGCTATCGGGTATGCCAGCAATGACATATGCCAGCAATGGCAGCAGCAGATGCTAACTAACAGAGGCCACTGGTAATACTGTCCTCAAGCAAACAGTGACTACAATTGTCTTTTGCATATCAAATTTACAGTGCAATCTACCAATGCAAATCATCTTTTAAAATCATAAATTTCTACAAAGCATAATATAAAAGCTTGTGAGTCATTTACACCCTAGCTGAAAGAGGCTTCCTCACCGAGCCTGGAGGAGACTCATCAGGTAATCCATTTCTCCCTTCTCTAAGTATTCTAAGTTCCCCAAACTAGAAAGGAGAAATAAACCATATTTCCTTGACCCTCAATATCCTGAAGCTGAAACTGCGCAAAAGAACCATTAACTACTTCCAGTTATTAAAAACAAAAACAGCTGGGCATGGTGGTGCATGCCTTTAATCCCAGCACTTAGGGGCAGAGGCAGGAGGATCTATGTGAGTTCAAGGCCAGCCTGGTCCACATAGTGAGTTTCTCAGAGCTACTCAATGAGACACTGCTTCAAAAGCCAACCAGCAAAAAAAAAAAAAAAAAAAAAAAAAAAAAAAAAGAAAAAAAGAAAAAAACAAGCAAACAATGCTAATATAGATGCCAAGAAAGTGCCAAGTGATTTAATAGTGGTCCACAGAATCCCACTCCTGAAAGCTGGCAGAGCGAATGATTCTATTGGCAGGACCTAGGCATGGGCCAGCTGCCATCGCCCTACCACAAGCCACTCTGCATTTCTACCTCTCACAAGGGCTAAACTACAAAGAGCGGCACACTGTCTCAGTAACTGCGATGCAGCTTGAAAGACTGGGAGCTTCAGATGGAGCTCTTGCTGGACACTACGATGTCACTATGATGACAACTGACCTCTCCTATCTGCTGTTTACAGGAGAAGACGTGACTCTGATAGTAACAAGTCCCACGGAGCACAAGACGCGCCATCGCCTGTAAGAATCCCGCTCAAAGATGGAGACCTCACCTTCAGTAAGTACTTGTGATGAAGTCAGAGAACAATGAATGGGGGCAGCGCCTGCATTGAGAGCAGCAGGCCTAGAAGAAAACCAACGAAAAGCTTTCTACAGAAGCCAGCGTCTGGGAGTCTGCTGGAGATGGACCCTGTGTCTGTCCCTTCCCAGCACTGTGTCAAGCATTCACGGCTCAAATCCACTTGAGACCCCACCCCAACAGTAGGTCAGACAGTGGCAACACTCTGAATCTCGCTGATCTGGAAATTCATTCGGAGCCCTGGGTTTCTGCTCAGGCCTGCCCTTGTCTGCATACCTTTCCAAGCCACCGTGGCACCGAGGCAGGATTCCCCGTTTTTTGGCACAGGCAAATGGCACATATGTAGTAAATAAGTGATAAACAGCAAGCCATTGATTAAACTATCCCTTCAGATGCATAAATATCCCAAATGGAAAAACACAATAAAAACAGCACTTCATAACCTAGCAAGAAAGCTAAAGTGGCATACACTTTAGCATAAAATAACCTGTGAAGCTGATGGTAAGATATAAGACCAAAGAAGACTGTAAGACGACTATAGAGTAAAAATGCTGGCTGTTCGTAATCCAGAGATGAAAAAGGACAGCTCGGGGTGTGCAGGGAATCCAGAAAGCGTTTGGGAACAAATCCCCAGTGAGGAAGAATTAAGTCTGAAATCTGAAAAGCTATGACAAAGCTACAGATTCAAACTAGAATTTCCCCATGTTATTAAAGAAAAAAAAAATCTGTATTTGAGAATCAAACAAGCAACTTCATGTTTCGCCAGTGACTTAGGACAGTGTTTGAATCTAGGTGCAGAGCCATCTGCTGGGGGACAGGATGGACTCAGCAGGACTGGCTGCTATACAGCATTTATTTCTTATGCTAAACCCCCATTTTGTAGATTACAGTAGAGTGTGAATGTTACTTTAATAGAGGGGTACATATGTATGAATTTTTGAATAACTCACATTCAAACCCTCAGTACCTGGGATGCTGAGGCAGGAGGATTGCCAAGAGTTTGAGGTCATCCTAGACTAATGACTGAGACCCAGTCTCAGAAATCAAAAAAGAAAATAAACCAAAAAGAAAAACTTTTCCTAATCGAGGTACATGTTCCAGAACACTGGTAACCGCCCTTCTAATATTCCACTAAGGGCCACAATGGTGCTTGAGACATTATTACCACATAAAGTTGCCTTTAAGAAGGTTAAAGTCATAGGCCACGGTAAACAGTACTAGACCTCACACAGAACAAGGCCAAGGTGAGCAAAACCACAGTGGCGATACCAACTGCTGGCGGTTGGCCATGGACGCCAAGCCCCCAGTATGCCTGCCAGCCACTCCTGCCTTTTTTGATCTCTAGTACAGTATACAAATCTGAAAGGAATTTTCCAGTTTGAGAAGGAAAATCCAGTACTCTATGTAAGTTCATGGCCTTACTTCCTCCACCAAAATTTGAAAACAGTCAGGCGTGTGGGTGTACACTTGTCAATGTTAGCATTCGGGATGTGGTTCACAGCCAGCCTGGGTGACACAGAAAGACCCATCTCAAAAACAAAAACACAAAGCCACAGAGAAAAAATGTATGCTTCTATTTTAACTCTTAAAATATGAGGGACAATAAACATTTTAACTTGATGAAGTTTAACATTGGCCATTTGAGGGCTTCTAGATTCAATGATATATTATATATTTTTTTAGTTAGTGGAAATTTTTACCCTCATTCAAACACACAGATCATGCCACAAGGACTGTAATATTACAAAACAATACTATGAGAATACTATGAGAAATCATTAAGAGTGGACCTGACATTTTAATTTTGTATTTTTTTTTTTTTTAAATCAACATGGGCAAGAGAAAAAGTACAGTTCAAGGGAAAACACACCCAGGGAAATAAATATACACAGGGCTTGTGGCAATGCACTGAGCCACAGAAAACCAAGGAAGCCAGCAGACCCTCCAAAGCCAGGCATTTCTGGGACCCCAAGACCCCTCTCAAACCTGCAGTCACTGAGCTGAGCAGAGATGGTCCAGAACAGGAAAAAAAAAAAAAAAACTAAGAGGCCTCAGAAGGTGTCACAAACCCTGACACCCGCTCAGCCCCCGTGCCTCGGGCTACTGATGCCCAGCAGCATTCACCCGCCCGGCAAGGTGACAGGGGTGGTGGTTGATGCCAGATGTTAGCTGAAGGTACAGAACCTCTCCCCGATGCTGCTGATGCTAAGAATTCTATGGCTATTCAAACCATACAAAGCTCAGACTTCTTCAGGAAGGAGGTAGTCTGCAGCAAGAAATGTCTGCCTCACACACACAGCAAGGTTACAAACTGACTTTAAAAAGGAAACTCACTCACGCACACAGAGCAAGCACACGCTTCCTCCAATTCATTCATTGTAACAAGAAAGTGGGTGCATCAATCACCCCCCTCCCCAAGGCCTCATGGTTTCTTACAACGATGCTCTGAGCTTTTTGCTTTTTTGTTTGTTTGTTTGTTTGTTTTTGGGATTTTTTTTTTTTTGAGACAGGGTCTCATGTAGTTCAAGCTAGTCTCAGACTATGTAGCTGAGGCTATCCCTGATTCTTGATCCTCCAGCTTTCACTTCCCAAGCGCTGGGATCACAGACCTGTGCTACCACACCCAGCCTGAGTTTATATGGTACCCTTGGACCCAAGGCACCTCTGTGCTAAAACAGTAAACTATCAAATATATCATCTGTGAAAACAACCAATGGCTTTTTCTCCTTTAACTCAAGAAGATAAAACTTTTATGCTTTCAGAATTTCAAACATCTAGTTAGATCAATTCTCAATATTTACTTAGTACATACAATGTTAACCCACTAAATTACTACAAAGTGCTGCTGAGGGTAATTCCAAATATGCAAGCAAACTAAATAATCCACCATGGGAAGAAAGCCCATTACTGCGCCTGTTCCCATCACTCTGAACACTGCCCTTCAATCCTACTATTGCACATCGTGGGAACAGAACATTTAGAACCACAAATGAACCAGTAACAGGTCTCCAACTGCCCCTCAAAAAGGCAGCGCACTGTGGCCCCTCACTACCCAGCCAGCACGCACTTCCATACCTAAGCATCTCTGCACTGGACAGCCAATGCTGTCCTGAAAGACGCCACTGTGGCAGCCGTCCTGAGTCTTCCATTCGGGTCAGGTCTAGGGTTTAATGGGTGAGGGGTGGGGCATGTAAAATAATTTAGTTCTGGACTTTAGAGTCAAAAATTGCAAGATTCCACAGTGCTAACTGCTGTCAATTCAGTCTGAGAGACCAATCTACCTGTGTGCATCTGGCTCTGACTCAACACACAGTATTTTATAAACATGACAATGTACAGGTGAAGGTCTGCAGCAAGAAGAGGTTCTCCTTACTAATTTCACAATCCTATGTTTGAGAACGGCCAAATGCTATCTGATCCCATAATTTCAGACATTTCTGGAGAGAAATAAAAACACACCTTTATCTCATGACTGACTGGAAAGTTTCCTGATCACACCTGAACACTGCTCCAACCTTTGCCCTTTGATTTGAAAGGCAGCATGGGAACTGCAGAGCAGAGGTGGATAAAATTAGCAAGAGGGGCCTGTCACTCTGGGTGCCTTCTGGCTGGAAAATGGCCCCACCCGTGTCTCAGGGTACTCAACTGAACCTTTTTGCTTGCTTCCAAGACTCAATTTTCAAGCCCCAACTCTATTCTCCTAAAATATAATCATTTTCCAAGACATGCTGCATGAATACAGAACCACACCAGCCAGAGAGCAGACAAGAGATCTGTGCTCAAAGTAGGGTCCTGTATTCTCAATGAATGCCCCAAACCCACATCAAAACTGAGCTTTCAAAGCCTTGTGTTACGAAAGCTCAGGGCCAGGGCCCGTTGACAGGTTCAGACGAGATCACGGGCATAGCAGAGATCCACCCAGGATAAGCACAAACAAAGCACCTGTCTGTGGAGCTGACAGTCATGTCAGAGCCTCCCTCCTGGTAATAACTTAATCCTCCTAAGAACAGGAGTGATTCTTCCTCCCACTGTTAACGAGGGGCTCCTGTTCAGTTACTCGACAGAGCATACTTACTACAATGTGCTTTAAGTGTATTTCTATCCCTGTGAGCCAGTCTCCACTATACACATAGCCAGGCTGGCCCTCAGCCCTTGGTGTTCTCCTCCTGCCTCAGCTTCCCAAGTGCTGGGATCACAGAAGTGGGCCATCAAGTATTTCTTTAAATAACAGACACTAAGCATACATTTCCCCCTGGCCAAAGAGTCCTAACATCCAGGACCAATAACTTTGTTCTGCGACTTTCTTGCAAAATACAGCTGCTGAATCCCAACAGACCAATGCTTTCTGCACAAAGCTTAAAAAAACAAACAAAAAGTCAGCAACAGCGCACGCACACTCACGCGCGTGCGCACACACACACACACGTACGCACGCACTCACGCACACATGCCACCTTTTTAAAAAAGAAGGGAAGTGGAGTTAGGACTCCGATTAAGGCATTTTTATACAGTCCGACTTCTGAGAACCCGAAAAGGCTTTCAACAGGCAACGGGGAAATTACAAGAGTCGAAAAGAGCCCTGCAGAACCATCACTCGTTTCAAACCAATCCTGCTGGATGCCCCTGTTTCTTAGTTCCTTGGTCTTAGTCCGCAACTGCAAGGGTTATGTCTTCTGTAGGTCTGGAGAAAATGGGCCAGGAGTGGAAGGTCCATCCAGGCTAGACAGAGTGAATGGTCCATGACTGTTGAGCACAGAAGGAAACTGAGGAAACAAAAGCACATCAGCACCCTATTACAGCCTCCACTTCTCCCTCCCATCCCTCCCTTTCCCCAGGGCCGAGCACAGACACATCCTCGAGACAGAGGAAGTGACCACATCACAGAAGACTACGGTGTACTTCCGTGTTTTGTTTGAAACTAGTCACGTGTGGGGTAGGGAGGGGTGGTACACGCACGCACGGGCCTGGGCTACTGTGTGAGGTCAGAGAACTTTGTGAAGGCCCTTCTCTTTTCCACCCTATGTGGGTTCCAGGGGTCAAACAGGCTGTCACGTCAGGCTTGCACAACAAGTGCTTAACCAGTGGGACAGCTCTAGGCCCAAAATATTAGAGAAAATATACAAATAAAAATGTCATGATCCTCCGAGAAGCTATTTGCAATGGATAGCCCCGCTGGCAAAGAGAAAATCCATTTTCTCCATGGACTGTCTCTGGGTCTATCAGGCCAGGCCTCACGTCAAAGAGCAGTTGGCAAAAACGGAATCCCTGTTTTTGTTTGTTATTGTGCTTTTTTTCTTATTGACTTACTTTGTCTGTTTGATTTTCTCTCCCTCCTGCCCCCCCCCCATTGGTTTATTTTTTGAGACAGTGTTTCTGTTTTGTTTTTGATTCTAGTTTTTAATTTTTTAAAAATTTTATGTGCACATACGTCTGTGTGAGGGTGTCAGATTCCCTCAAACTGGAATTACAGACAGTCGTAAGCTACCATGTAGATACTGGGAACTGAACCTGGGTCCTGTGGAAGAGCAGCCAGTCCTCTTAACTGTTGAATCATCTTTCTAGCCCCCACAAGACAGTTTCTGTGTAACAGCTCTGGCTGTCCTGGAACTCACTCTGTAGACCCCGCTGGCCTTGAACTCGGAGATCCAACTGCCTCTGCCTCTGCCTCTGCCTCCCAAGTGTAAGCCACTCCCACCCAGCTTTCTGTTACTTTTAAGAGATAAACAGACCATGTATTTATTAGAGAAAAAGAGGGGGGAGAAAAACCACCATGAAATTGGGTGGGGAAGGAAGAGAGAAGCACCTGGGAGGGGCTGGGGGGAAGAGAAAGGTCAAACTATATTGTATAAAAAAATGTTTTTAATAAATTTTTTTTCAAAAAACACTGTCCTAATAATATATATACTAACTCTACTCTACCTCAAAGGAATGGTGACCTTTACCCTGTGATATCCTGGTAAACACCCTTAACTAACCTCAAAGGGTTAAGAAATTTGTTAAGTGACAATGCTCACTATGGGCTTAGTTATGAGGTCAGCCATGAACCCCCAACAAGAGTCCAGACAGGCACGGTGGTTACCAGATGCTCATCCTAGAGAACAGCAGCTCGACATTCTGTGAGCACCTGCACAGGACTCATCCCCAGCTGGGGTTCCAGGAGAGCATCGGGAGTGGCTTACGGTTTCCGATCACCCTACACTCCATTTCTTCTGGGGAGAACCACTCCCACATATGGAAAAGTAAGAATGTGACATGGAAAAACTTCTCCCTGAATAAACATCTATTCGGCCCATTTGTTTATCCTGATCCTTATTTAACCGCGTTAAAGAAAGAAAAGAGTGATCTGAAATCTCAAATTCAAGACTTTTCCTAATATCTTGCTGAGGAGACAATACAAATTCATTTCCTAAACCTTGTATTTAAAATGCTGATATAGTGACCAAAACTAGTTAAGAGATCACTGACTCAATACTTTCAACTGAGGAACCAGCCTTGACTGAACGAGGACCCCCGAATACAGGTGACAATGGTGTGGCTTGGGCAGTATATGAAGCCACTGGCAGTGGGACCAAGCTCTGACTAGAATGCACAATCTGACTCCGTGGAGCCATTCTCTATGGAGAGACACTGTGCTCAGCACAGACACGGGACGGGGGGGGGGGGCACCCTGGTCCTGCCTCAACAAGGGGATGGGGCGAACTAAGTTGACATCCTGGAAGAGGCCTTACCTTCTCTGAGAAGCGGATTCGAGGTGGGATGGGGAAGGGAGATCGAGAGGAGAGAAGGGAGGAGAAATGGGATTGGGATGTAAAAACTAAAAAATAAAAAGAAATGCTGATATAGGCTGGCAAGATGGCTCAGCAGGAAGACACTGATATATATCAATTCTGACAGGGACCTGATACAACCTTCTAAGACTTTTCTCAAAAAAAAAAAAAAAAGAGAGGACGGGAGAGATGGTTCAGTAGTTGAAAACCCTGGCTGCTCTTCCAGGGGACCCAGGTTCAATTTCCAGCACCCACACAGCAGCTCACAACTGTTTGTAACTCTAGTTCCAGGGGAACCAACACCCTCACACAGACATACACAAGCAAGCAAAACACCAATATACATAAAATAAAAAGAAATAAATCATTAAAAAATTCAAAAAGAAACTTTTAAAAACTGTAATTAAAAGTGGGAACCTACAGACAAATAATTACATTTTAAAGAGAAGATAATCTATGAGCAAAGTCTGCCCCCTAGCATGTGTACATGCAGAGCACGCTTCTGTCAAGGGTCTTGTAAGGTCATGAAGCTGAAGTTTTCGAAAAGTATAGCTCCCCTATAGCCTCAGTGCAGCATCCCGGGGAGTTTGTGTCAACACTCTCCTGCAGCGCTACCTGTGGGAAACGTACCGGTAGAGCCCGCAGAGTGAGCACTCGATGACTGACAGGCACCGTTCATCCTTATTACCTCAGTGCCCTCGCCAGCAGCCTTAGATGTGCATGCCATGATTCCACTTTGTTTCTGGACAGGGTCACACTGTCACTTACGCTGGCCTGCAGCTATGCAGCTCAAGCTCACTGTGATCCTCCTCCCTAGTCTCCCAAGCGCTGGGATTACAGACATGAGGTACCACCGTGAGAATTATTTCTCAACGTGCAGCTCTCACACACGCAGCACATCAGGCTGTGCCATCATGTTTACATAAGTACATGATGGCACAAAGCAAACTCACGCAATGACTCCCTTCTCAAAATATGCCCTACCCACAGTAGGACGTGTGCTGCGGGGGGGGGGGGTACTAAGAATGGGAGCGTTTAAGCAGGAATGGGAGTAGGAAGGAAGGAGAAAGGAGGGAGCGGGAAACTAACCAAAACCACGTCCTTTGAAATTCTTAATGGAAATCTACTGCTCCTTAAGCTAATCAAAGAACGTGTTTTGTTTTAAGTAATCTGAATGAAGATCCCGGCATGGGTGAATAATGCTGTTCCCAGGAAGTCATGGGCAATTAAACAAATTCCAGCCCCAAGCATGGGGTACCTGCTTATGAGCCGTTGGTCAGGGAGTCCCCAGAGTCCCTCAAACGAATGTAGACTATTGCTACTGCTCATGGTTGCCCACCAACTGCTAAGACCTATTGCTAAAGACACCACACACTTTGCTTGCGGGTCAAAGAAATCAAGCTGAGCTGACCTAGACACTCCCTCCCTGCTGGCTAGCTGTCCCAATGCTGGGACATGGTATGTAGGCCACAGGAAGAGAAAAGCCATCGGCGGGATTAGCAGCAGTGGATCTAATATGCTGAAATAGTGACCTGGCAAGCAGCAAGTGTCCACTGGTGCTACTGTATCATGAATATTATGGGAGTAACCAATCACTTTTCAAATTAGACTTAAAGCCCGTGCTTTACGTCCATGACTAGCGCTGTAATCCTGGTCAAAGCTCACGGCTGGGGTGCTCACAGGCCTTAAGGGGACCAACTGTGACTGCTTTGCTAAATGGACATGTTGCCAAATAGCCTTCTAAAGATTTACCTTTATACCAAGTGACAAATGCAGCTCTCAACCCTCATAAAAGAAGTATTTTTAAAAAATAATTATGTGTCTATGTGTGTAGTTTACACACGTGAGTGCAGGTGTCCAAAAGGGTACTGGGAACTGAACTCTGGTCCCTCTGCAAGAGAAGGGTAGTGCATACTCTTAACCCCGAGCCGATTCCCCAGCTCCGGGGAGGGTGTTTTACCGTGAAGGATGGGTAATACAGGACTCACAGAGCAGCGAACAAGAGCCTGTGGTGAGTTCAGTCATAATGGGTTATCTATAGTACATGCACGCCTGCTTGCATGCACACACCGACCCCAAGACTCAGGGAACATTGTAGAAGCGGGCTCGAAAGGATTTAAGAGCCAGAGGATGGAGAGCAGTGCTGTGAAATACTGTCTTCTCAATATGACGTGGTGTTGCTCTCATAAATGCATAGCAGCTGTGGTTACTCACGCTGTCAAGCAAAATCAAGCAAGTCAACAATCCAGCATGGACAGGGGAGGGGCGTGAGGCCCATCCTAGTTGAGCTATGACAGTTGGAACTGTTGACCAAGGCTGATTCACGTTTCTTCAGGGGTGTAGCCCCAGATCCAGTAAATAAGCCCATACCCACTTATGCACAGGCAAGTAACCCTAACCAAACCAAAACAAAAAGACATAAATTTAGGAGGAGGAAGTGTTGTGAAGAGGGAGGAAGAAGGTTTCCAAAGAGAACAGAATTTCTCTTTGGGATAAGCAAGGGGACTAGGTTGTGTGTGTAGGTATGTAATTATGATCAAATAGCATTAGTGTATGACCACAGACAGTCTGACTTATAGTGGTTTAACACAGCACACGCGCGCACACACACACACACACACAAAAACAACGCCACATGCATTCAACAGAAACTATGCCTTGAACATGAACATCATATTTTCCTAGACTAGCAATATGCAATATGGATGTGTCTTACTATGCTGGGCAGCAACTGAGAGCCACAGGCCCCAACCACACAATGCATCACTCTGCAGTGTATGTGACAATGACACTGAGCACTACCTCTGCCCATTTCTGCAGTTGACACCCCCAGTCACAGGAGGCGCACTGTAATTTACCTGGAAAAGCGTATTAGCACCTTGCAGTCTGGCTGGGCTCAGGGGAGCGAATGGGCTGAGAGTGCTCCAAAAGTGAATGCTGGAGAGCAGAGGGCTGGGAGTCAGCAAGATGGGAGTCTGCAATACACAAGAACATTGCTCGAGACTTGCCAGGCTTGGGCTCCATCGTCCCAAAGATACAAACAGAATCCACACACTAGGTTCTCCCACCCCCCCCCCCCGCCCCCAAACCTCTCTAACCCTGAAATCACTTTATGACCCAGGAAAGAGAAAGGGCACAATAATCACTTTAGAACCTAACTCTTATAGGGCCTTTCCAAGCTAGAAAGCAAACCTAAGTTCGGGTACAAAAGAGCAACAGCTGAGAGCCTATGACACAGGACTATCTGGCGGAGCTTATTCAAGAGCTCTCCAAGGTGAGCAAGTTAATGCCTAAAGCAGCTGGGTAAGCAGACAGCAAAGCCCACAGCAATCCCTCTCTCCAGGCTCTCACTCACTCCTGCTTTCTCCCAAGGCAGCAGCAGTTTTAAGGGAGTCCCTGAACTTGCTTGCTTTAGGGGGAAGTAGAAAACCTTGCAAATCAATGACTTCTGCTTTATTTAGAGGGAGGGCCTCATGTAGCCTGGGCTGATCTCAAACTGGCTATGTAGCCAAGGATGACCTTTAACTTCTGATCTTCTTGCCTTTCCCTCCTGAGTACTGGGATTCCAGGAATGTGACCCCATGCCTGGTTTATTCAATGCTGGGGATGGAACCCAGGACTCCGTGCACGCTAGGCAAGCATTCTACCATCTGAGCTACACCCTCGGCCCAAGAGCAATGCATTTTAAAAGATGCAATGTCAAATCTCTTTTGTTTTGCAGACTCTAGTTAAGTAAGGAGATGGGCTTCCCAGGTTTACGTGTAACCGTTCTAAGATAGCCCTCACTGGCAGAAATTGAGTTCCGTAGGCACAATAAGCTCTAGACACAGCTGAAAAGGTGACTAGGTGAATAAACGTAATCACACTTGAGAGGAAGAGCAAGGTACCTGAGAAAAGAGTGCTGGTGTAAGAGACGCTGTCGGGAGAGATGGGCTTAAGATCCCCAGGGGGCTGGGGTCACTGCCTGTGACCACAAGGGCGGGTGTCAGTTCTAACCCTTTGGGCTTCTTGGATCTTGAGGAGTTATTTGCTTTGTCCTTCTCTGGCACAGCTGAACCCTCATGTTTAGGCTCCAGTGACAGGTTCTCTGGAAGTTCCATTGGCTGAGAAGCCACCGAGTCAATGTCTGTGTCAATGTCTGGGTTAGAACTCAATGGTGGAGAAGGTGTCCGAGGGGACTCCTCTGGAGGGACGGGTACGGAGGGGACTGGAGGGGTGGGGTTAAAGGTGGCAGCCAGAATGGACGCGGAGGCTGGGGCCTCCAGAGAAGGTAGTGTAGGAGAAACCAGTGTCTCCAAAGCTTGGATAGTTTCTTCAGAAGAGGGAGAAAGACTTGGGCTTGTTGAAAAGGTAACGGCAACAGGTTCGATGGGTGGCTTTCTGGCAGGCGTTGTTACAAATTTGATGACAGATGGTGTCGGCTCCTGAGTTTTTCTCTCTGCCAGTTTCTCAGCCGGATTCTCTATCTTTATTGACTTGAAAAGCTTCTTGTTGGAGGTGTTCAAAGAGTTGAGAGTAAATGAAGAGTACAAACCAGAGTGTATGTAGTCATTGCGACTAGACGTCCTGGCTGCAGGCGGAGGGGCCCGCTCTTTCACCCCGCCGTCAGCGTCTTTGCAACTGCTGGCTTCAAGGGAATTTAAAGTTTCACAGTCTCCCTCCATCCTGCCCACTGTCAGCGGATCCATCTTCAAAATCTCTGGATAAGAGACAAACTTGTACACAAACTTCTGACCATTCACTTTTTTAATGATGTTCTGTAGGCAGAGAAGATAAGCAGTCTTAAAGTCTCTTATAAATTTACACCTCGCAGTTGATGAAAGGCGGAGCCTGGTGAAGTGCTCCGTTTGAGAAGTAGGCACAGCTTTAAAACAGCTTTGAAAGCAGCTACATTCACCTACCCAGGTCAGACACGGCGCCTGCTCAGAGAAATTAACACAGCAGCTCAGTGCCCTCTCAGCAACTGGACTAAGCCAGCCCACAGGAGCCGAGACGGTGATTGTCTGACCCTCCCTCCCCACCAAACACACCTGTGTAAGTCAGAACTCACCGAACTGCAATCCCCAAACAGCCCCAATGGTGTAAGCCGTAAGCACCCTGAGGAAGCTGAGCGTCTCAGAACATGGCCCTGTGAGCTGCCTACGTCAGCTGACTCTTACCTCAGGAAGGCTGGGAAGATCAACCACTAAGGCTCTTCTCTGGAAATGTGTATTTTTCTCCAGTGCCCAAGAAAATATTTAAGAGTCGCAAGATATTAAAAGACAGAATTTTGGGCTGGAGAAATGGCTCAGCGGCTCTTCCAGAGGACCTGAGTTCAATTCCCATCACCCACATGGTGGCTCACAACCATCTCTAGTGCGATCTGATGCCCTCTTTTGGTATACAGAGAACTGACCCATAAAATATAAATAAATAAATAACTTTTTTAAAAAAAGATGTAATTTTTGGTTTGAGCAGATGGTTTGGCAGGTAAGGGTATTATCTATGCAAGCCTGAAGACTCAAGACTCAAGTTTGCCCCTCCAGAATGTAAAAAGCTGGGTGTGGTAGTACAGCCATGTAATTCCAGCACGTTGGGGAGGGGGGGAGGGGGGGACGGACGGACTGACAGACGGACAGGTGGGCCGCAAAGCCAGGGGAACTGCCAGGGAACCTGCAGGCCTGGTGCCTGGGATACACACTCAGCAGCAGAAACAAGGGACCCTGCTCCGGCAAGTACCACAGAAAGTGAGGACAGACCCTCAAAAGTTACCCTCTAGCAAGACTGGACAGACAGCTCGGCAGTTAAGGGCACCGGCTGCTAAAGCTGGGTGCAGCACTTGGGATGAATCTCGGCAGGCAGAGGCAGGTGGATCTCTAAGTTTGAGGCCAGCCAGGGCTAGAGAGACCTTGCCTCAAGATAGATAGACAGACAGTTGGATGGATGGACGGATGGATGACAGATAGACAAGACAGAGGAAGCGCTGGCTGATCCTCTAAGGATATAGGTTTGATTCCCAGCACCAATGGTAGCTTACAATCACTGGTTACTCCAGTTCCCGGAGACCTGACACTTTCTTCTGGTCTCCTCAGGTACCTGGCACACAGGTGGTAAATATACACACACACAGGCAACAAGCTCATATACATAAAATAAATCAAGCATTAAAAAAAAAGTCCCTGACCTCCAGACATGCCAGGACACAAATGTGCCCCCTTCTTACTCCCTCACAGACACATAAAATACATTTTAAGAAATTTAAAGTGTAATTTAAACTAAGAAATCAACTGTTTTAAATGGCTACTCTTGCTGATCTAGAGCCTCTTGAGTGCTGAGGAGTTACAGGAGAGCCACCACACCTGGGGCAACAGCTCTTCTTTGTTTTGTTTCTCGAGACAGGGTTTCTCTGTTCTCTGTGTAGCCCTGACTGTCCTGGAACTCACTCTGTAGACCAGGCGGGCCTCGAACTCACAGAGATCCACTTGCTACTCCCTCCTGAATGCTGGGACTAAATGTGTGTGCCACCACGCCAGGCTGGCAACAGCTATTCCTTAAGGTACTAATTTGAGTTCCCAAGACTAAATTGAAGCTCAAAATTCAATCTACAGGTATATATGATGAAATTGTTGTGTGTGCACGAATGTACATGGGTGTTCCCATGTGTGGAGGTATGTGTGCACCTATGTGCATGGGGGTCAAACACCAACAACAGGTGTCGTCCTCAATTGCTTTGGTTTTTGTGTGTGTTGGTGGTGTTTTTTGAGACACGGTCTCTCACGGAACCTGGAGCTTGCCAATCTGTCTAGACTGGCCAGGCATTCCCTGTCTCTGCTGCCCAGCGCTGGGATACAGGCTCACCATGTCTGGCTTTTTTACGTGGGCGCTGGCAGCAGGCTCTGGTCATCACACTGGCACTATAAGCACTTTACCAACTGAGCCATCTCCCCAGCCCCTGTTTTCTCTTTTAATGGGGCAGGGCCTCCTGGGTCTTAGGCTGGCATCACATTTGCTAAGTCATCAATTTCAGATCCTCCTGCCTTTACCTCCTCAGGGTTAGGATTACAGGCTTGCCCCTCAAGTGGTTTCTGTGGTGCTAAAGACTGAACCCAGGGCTTCACACATGCCAAGTAAGTAGTCTACCAACTAAATTACATCCTTAGCCCTATAAGATACTCTTTAAAGTAAATTATGACATACATACAAGTATTTATTCTCAAGCATCTCCATTCTTTTCTTTGTATTCCAATCTTGCACTTTTTCTTTAAAGACCACCTCAGGGGCTAGAGAGATGGCTCAGTGGTTAAGAGCATGAACCTGAGCTCAGGTCGCAGCACCCATGTCAGGCGGCTGACAACTGTATGTAACTCCAGTTCTAAGGGGAGTGATGCCCTCTTCTGGCACCTGAGGGGCACTGCATGTACACGATACACAGCCATCCATGCAAGAGAAACACCCACACACACAAAATGAAAATGAGTACATCCAGCAAGGTGACTCAGCAAGTAAGCGTACTTGCCACCAAGTCTGATGACCTGAGTTTGATCCCTGAACCCATCTGATGGGAGGAGAACTCACTCTTACAAGTTGTCCTCTGACTTGCACGTGTGCACATGTGTGCCACTGAACAGAACATTTAAAAGCTTTAAAGGAGTTTGTGGAAATACAACCAGAACCACTGGAAGAAACTGCTAAATAAGCTGGACTAAACAAACCACGTTAGTGCTCAACATTGCAACAGAAACAAAGAACTAATTCTTGTCTTGAGGCTCTCTGTACAGCATCAGGGTCAGGGCAGGCATTTACCTTTACGTAGTAGTATCTCAGGGCTCGGCTGAGCTTATCGTAATTCATATTAGGCTTGTTCTTGCGAATTCCCCAGAGACGAGCCACCTCCTCAGCCTGCAGAAGCTTGAACTCCCCGTTGTTAGATGTCCAGCAGATCATGTGCTCGTTCTGGGGCTCCTGGAGGAGCTGAAGCAGGAACTGCCACAGAGTGATGGTGCTGTCCATAGCAACGGGCTGAAAGCACAGGGATGGGGAAGACATTTAATGACGGCAGGCACTGCTGTCCAGTGTTCTAAGTGTCCCGCACAACACTCCTGCAACACACACTACGCCACCATCATTCCACATGTCAAAAAGGAGATTAATGCAGGGCTAATACCTTGTCCAAGGACACGGCAAATGCTAACACTAGACTTGAGCCTAAGCAATCTGAACCCAGGGTCCACATTCTTACATAAGCTGCGTTACTTAGGTTTGTTTTGTTTTCACAGTGTTTCCTGTGTGGCCTCGTCTGGCCTTGAACTCAGTTCTCTTGCCTCAGTCAGACAAGCCCTGGAATTAAACTGTTTGTCACTATGGCCAGCTCCCTTCAGAACATCTTTTTTTAAATATTTTATTTTTATTCTGAAGTGTGTGTGTGCGTGTGCGTGCGTGCATTTGTGGACATGGCAGAGATGCCACAGACGGCAAAAGCGGGTATTAGATCCCCTAGAGCTGAGCTGAGTGCCTGACATGAATGTTGAGAACCAAACTCGGGTCCCCGAAAGCAGCACACACTCTTAGCAGCTGAGCCTTCTCTCCAGGCCCCAGCTTCAGAAGTCTTAAGCATAGCTGGATGGCTCAGCAGCAAAGCCCCTGTGCGTGCAGGAGGCCTTGGGTTCCAGCCCCAGCATGACAGGAAAAATAAATGTTACCTTAAAAACAAGCAGCTTCCAAGGAAAATAAAGCCAGTTTCATAAATGACAGCAGCAAGCTAAAGGCTGGACGTCAACAGAGGTCAGTCAGTTCTCAACTTTCACCTTTAAAAGCCCTGTTGTCCCATTCTCCCGGAAGACCACCACCGAAATGTCTAGCTAAACGAGCCCGCTGTGCTAATCTGACAAGACATGTGTCTCAGGATGGCTTGGAGGCTGAGGTGAGGGAACAATTTGTTCCTACTCCAACTGGTCTTTCTCCTCAAATAGTAAGCATCATGCTTTACATACAAACTGGCAACACAGAATTCAACAAAATGTTCCCTACTTCGATCTGCAAGTTCTGTTACTGTTCACAGCCTGCAGGGTTCCTTGTATTTAATTAGTGATCAGGACAAGGACAGAAGAAAAAGCCTTCAGTACTGGGGTCTTCCAGCTAGGGCCAGTTCTCAGTTGCAGCAAGCTTTACACTGGAGCCGGCCAATCCTGTGCTGTAGGGCTGTCGGCACACTGCGGCTGCTCCGACAGCACCCTGGCTTCTGCCCACTAGATGTTAGTACCCTTGCCGCTGAGACCATCTCTGCAGTCAAATCATCCCCGCTGACAACCACCCTCCCAGACAGCATGCTCTCGGAGAACTTCATGGGAACAATTCCTTACACGGCAGCTCTGACCAGATCAAATGTAAGGTTATTCATATGTGACCAAGTGACTGAACAGCTTCCACAAAAACTAAAATCAGAATGAGACCTCAGAGGGTCAGAGGAGGGTGAGAAGACAAATTGATTCAACTGAAACACTACAAAGACAAGCAAATTGGACTCCATCAAAATTGTCAACTGTGCTGTGAATAGCAGCAAGCCAGAAAACAATCCCTCCTGTGTGCTCTAACCCCTAAACCCGCTCACAAATCATGTGTCATAAAGGAACCTGCATCCCCCCCCCCAGTAGCTAAACAACTCCTATGGCATAAACAGAAAAGCCAGGCCTGGGGGTCTCTCCAGAGAAAAGCTGCAAATGGCCAATGCGCACACAGAAAGATCTCCCCATCATTAATACTGGAGGGACTAGAACTCAAAAACAAGCCAAAGCCACTATGTGCCTATTATAACCAGGAAGTAACAATAGGCTGACAAAGACAGAAACTGAAACTCACACCTGGCAGAAATGTGAAATGCCATGCCTCTACAGCCAAGTTCCACGTGACCAGGTACACACCTGCAGAATGGAAACACATGTCCACAGACCTACGGTAGCACATGCCTTTAATTTCAGTACTATCCGACAAAGCCGGGTGGATTTCTATGAGCTCAATGACAGCCTGGTCAACATAGCAAGTTCCATGCCAGCCAGAAATGCATTGCAAAACTCTGTCTCAAAACAAAAAGCAAAACCAGAAACGTTCATAGTAGAATTATTCAAAATCAATTCAAATATCCACCCAACTCTCGAATGGAATAATAAAACATAGTATATTCATATGGTGGAATATTATTCACCCATGAAACACAATCAACAGGGGAGAAAGACGACTCAGTGATTAAAACACTTGCTGTACAAGCATGAAGGTTTGAATCCCCAGATCTACATAAGGCAGAAGTGACCATCTCTAACCCTAGTGTTCTAAGGAATGTAAGGAACACGAGAATCCCTACAAGCTCAGGAGCCAGTTGGCAGCAGACAACAAGACCCTAATTATACAAGGCAGAAGGGGAGAGCCGTCCTGGTTCCTTAAGCTACACACAGACAAACAAAAACACGAACTCACACACAAAGATTAAAAACAGCATTAAGTTTAAAGGGGGAGGGGTGGAGAGGACTCCAGGTAAAACAACCTGCTGTGCACATGTGATGACTTAGTCAGGGTTTCCATTGCCATGAAGAGACACATGACCACGACAACTCTTATAAAGAAAACATCTGATTGGGTCTGGCTGGCTTTCAGTTTTAGTCCATTATCATCAGGACCGGAGCATGGCGGTATACAGGCAGATGTGGTACCCGTAGCTGAGAGTGTTAAACTTGCAGGCAACAGGAAGTTGACTGACTTTCTGGGCAGTATCCCGAGCATAGGAAACCTCAAAGCCCACCCCCACAGTGGCACACTTCCTCCAACAAGGCTACACCCACTCCAACACCACCACACCTCCTAAGAGTATCACTCCCTATGGGATTATGGGGGCCAATTACATTCAAACTGCCACACCAGACAGCCTGAGTTAGTAATTACATTCAAACTACCACACCTGACAACCCGAGTTAGTTGTCAAGAACCCACACTGGAAGAAAGGAATTGATTCCTCACAGTTGCTCGTGCGTGCGCACAAACACACACTTTTTTCAAAGAGAGAGAAAGAAACGAAACGAAAGGAAGAAAGGAAGAAGGGAGGGAAGAAGCCAAGTACTGATAGGGTGATACGGTACGGCACGGACAACCCTTGAAAACACGAAGGGTAGTGGGTGGCCCCAGAAGATGAGTGTGCAAAGCAGCTCATTGCACGGACAGAAGGGCGATCAACGTGGCTGAGCTGGCTGAGGTAGGCGGAGAGCATCGGGTGGAAGGAGAGAGGGGAGAAATTGGAGAATGAAAGCCGATGACCACAGGCTTCCTTTCCTTTAGGGTGGCTGAAAAACGTTCTCATCTAAGAGTGTGGTGATGCCATTCTTGTGCATGAAAGAGCGCTCCACCGTGTGCTCTTGGCAGGTGATCTTACTCTCAATGAAGACGTTTAAAACAAACAAACCAACCTAACGTAACCAGCATTACAAAATTCAGGCATGAGAAGACGAAGTCTAACAACGTATGACTCAGAGGACGGATTAGTGAGCACCAGCCAGGAACATGTCTGGGTTTCTAGAATCGCTCTCCAGCATGAAAACGCACCCCCACTCCAGTTACCAGTTTTGACACTGTCTGTTCAGATACTGTGATGCAAAAGCGGACGGGAAAACGAGAAGGGATGCCTCCAGTCAGGAACGAAGTGAGACAGGAATCCCAGGCGCTGCTCTGCCTCTCGGAGAACCCTCCCCTCCATCCAGCAAGAGCACTGCCAGCATCAAACACCAGAGACTGTACCCCCAGCCCCCAAAGAGCCCCTTTCGTGCTAAGGAACCCGCCCGCTAGACATCGAACAGTGAATTTCATTTCCATTAAGTGTGGCAGGGCAGGGCAGGGGAGGGGTGACCGGTCACTGTATCAGATACGCACTTGGGAAGCAGAGAACCAAGAGGCCACTGTGGCCTGTATGAGACCGTGCCTAACTCAAAACAGCAAAAAACACACGTGTGGTGCTGGGGACCAAACCAAAGGTTTCATACAGTAAACAAGGGCTCTGCTACTGAGCTACAACCCATGCTTCAATAGCAGGGTCAGGTTATTCCGTCAATGAATCCTCCACACACAGCAGAAACTCTTCACTAGCTCTTACAAGTGTGATACTAATTATGCCCTTCAATAATTCTCTCAACTATACCAGAGAACTGGGCTCGGCCTGCTCGCACACCTTTAAGCCCAGCACTCTGAGGCAAAGGCAGCTGGGCCTCCGTGAGTTCCAGGCCAGCTAGGGCTACGGTCTCAAAACAAAACACCAGAAAACGAGCAGGGGGGGAAACAGGCGAGGTGCATACCTATAACCCTGGCTCACCTGACGGAGAAGCGTGGAGGAGCGAGTATGAAGCCCGCCTGAGCTACATATCAACAGACAGGAACAGAAACATACCCAAAACATGCACAGAGACAGAGACATAGTCTAACAACAGTTACAGCGTCAAAGGTTTTGTTTGGTTGGTTTCTCAAGACAGGGTTTCTCTGTGCAGCCCTGGCTGTCCTGAAACTCTTATTTGTAGACCAGGCTGGCCTGGAACTCAGAGATCTGCCAATAAAGGCACGGACCACCACCACCAGGCCAACGGTTTTTTTAGAAATATACAAAGGCAGGCTTAAATGCATCCAAATGAAGGAATCTCACCGTTGGAAAAGGTTTGGCACTCAGTTTCTAAGCTACACTGAAAAAAAGGACTGCAGGGGATGGAATACAGCTCAGGGGTGGCATGCTTGGCTAGCATGCCTGAGAACGTGAGTTAGAGGGCTAGCCCTCACCTAGGCTATGCAAACTGCTGCTACCTTCGCCAAGGAGTGCAAAGAAGAAAGAACAGGGGAGTCTGGGTACAGATCAGCTGAGGGACATCTGTTGCAGACCCTGGTTTTGATACCCAGCACAAGAAGGGAAGGAGGGAGAACGCAAAGATGAGAGCCACAAGATCCTACACACAGGAGAGTAAATGTGTCCTTTCCTTCCTTTTGTTGTGCTGGTGACAGAGTATCACCACTCTGTACATCCCCGGCCTCCAATATATAATGGCATCCCAAAATTTAACTAAGCATTCCCCCCCCCAAAAAATACAATGAACTCCACATAAACAGTTCCCATTTCTAAATAAAACCAAGGATCAAAGAACAACGACTTCCTAGGGGGGGGGGTGAATCACACAGTTTTAACAAAAACACCACAGCCAGCCGGAAATAGAGGTTCAAGTTCTGTGCTGGAGGGGAGGAGGAGGGAGGCAGAAGAGAGATCTGACCCTGTAACGACACACAGGCAGACGTACTGCTGACTCTTACTTAAATGGCCTAACCTTCCAATTGCAACGGCTTGAGAAAAAGCTTACTATGTCTTCTGACTTCACCTAACAAATTCCCCTAATTTCCTGCGGATGCCTGTTAAGATTTCCTCGCCCAAAAGATGTTTCTCCCAATGCTTTTCGGAGGAAGAGCTTGCCACAGCTGCACAGTAAGCGGTGGGGTGGGGGGGTGAGGCGGGGGGCAAGGCTGCTGAAAAGGGAAGATAAACCGGTGGTCGGATAGACAGCGAGCGTAGGGAAGGGAAGAATGCGGCGGGAGGCCGCACATCCCGAGATCAAAGCGCGGGGAGACGCAAACCTCCGGCCCCGTGGGCGAGCCATGAAAGCACTTTCACTTTCCAACTTCCTGCCAATGCAACAAGTTAAAACCGCTCCCCCGTCCGCCCCACCCAGGCAACAAAAACCCGCTGCCACCTTCCGCCTAAGGGACTTCTCACGACCCACCGTGATGCGGGGAGGCGGGAGGAGGCGCTCCTGCCAGCGAGCACCTGGGCGCCGCGGACCGCAGCTGCCGAGGCCAGCTCGCCGCCGGCCCCGCCCACCTGCCCAGGCCCCGCCCACCCCACCGGGCCCGCCCACCCCCAGGGCCCGCCCACCAGCCCCAGGCCCCGCCCCACCCCACCGGGCCCGCCCACCTGCCCAGGGCCCGCCCACCCGCCCAGGCCCCGCCCACCCCACCGGGCCCGGCCCCGCCCAGGCCCCGCCCCCGTCCCCCCACCCCGCGCCGCCGCCGCCGGGCGCACTTCCTGCCGCGCCCGCAGCCCCCGCCGGCTGCGGGGCGGCGGAGGCGCGGGACCCCGGCGGGGCGTGGGCGTGGCGCTCACCAGGCCGTGCGCGCCGATCCTTCTCGGCCTGGCACGCGGTGCTCGAGTCCGGCCGCTCCTCACGCTCGGAAGTCAAGGGCGGCGCGGCGGCCGCGAAGACCCCCGCGCCGGGGGCCCGAGAAGGCGGCGGCGGCCGGGCCGAGCCAGCCGCGTGCCTGCAGCCGCCCGCCCGCCCGCCCGCATCTCCCGCCGCCGCGCGTCCCGCCCTCCGCCTCCGCCCCGCCTCCGCACGCGCGGCCCGGGCGGGCGATGTGGCTCGCTGGGCTGACACCGCCGGTCGCGCGCGCTGCGTCCGTCCTCCGCCGCCACGGCCCCGCTCTCCCGTCACTCGGCGGCCGCCGCCACTCTCGAACCCCCCCACCCCTCCCCGGGACCGCCGGGGCCCTTCCTCGACGCCGCGGCCCGCGTCACTTCCGGGGGAGGGGCCGAGCTCGCCCCGAAGCCTCTGTTTTGGTTCTGGCCCCGAGCTCGCGCTTGCACCCTATTAGGCGCTCCGGTTGCGCTGGGTGTCCCGGGCCTCCAGCTCCGCGGGACGTTCGTCCTCCCCCCCCCAACACCGCGAGCTCAAAGTGGGGCCTGGGGCGAGCGGGGAGGGGGCGACACCCTCCGGGGAGTCTCCACCACCTCTGCATCATTCTCTTCACAAATAGCCTCCCCGGTGGCGCGGGCAAGGCTTCCCGGTTTGCACCCTTTGCTAGTCCCGGGACTTTAAGAGGCTTTTTGTTTTGCTTGTTTCTTTGTTTTTGTTTTGTTTTGTTTCAGACAGCGTTTCAGCAGGTAGCTCTAGCTGGCCTGAGCTCAGCAAGAGATCCGCCCGCCTCTACCTCTCGAGTGCTAAGGCTACAAATGTGCACCACCACGCCTTGCTGAAAACCGCGCGACCACTCAGGAGGCAGAAACAGGTGGATCGCCTAGTTCGAGGCCAGCCTACACTACATGGAGAGTTCCAGGACAACTAAGGCCACACAGAGAGACCCTGCCCGGGGGGGGGGGGGGGCAGGGGGGGAGAGAAAAAGAATCTAAAACCCAAGTTAATTGTCTGTAAAAGGACTGAAAGAGCCTAATCTTAAAGTTGGAACTACTAAAGAAGACGTGCAAAAAATCACTTCCAAATCCATATGTTTGTAATACAGTTCTCAGTATGTTCGAATTCTAAAGGCTGAGGCGGATGGGAGTTCCAGGTTCGCCCAGGCCGTACACTGAGACTCTCTCCCCGACCCACCAAACAAATGAGTGTGTGTGTCATTTGTTTAGGCTTTTTGAGACAGAGTTGTACTTCCGCCTGCCATGGAATTGACTGTAGCTTAGGTTAGCCTTGAACTCTCAGAGATCCTGTCTCTGCATCTCCAGGGCTAGGATAGTATAAGCTACCAAGCCGGTTCATACAAATCTCTCCTAGCAGCAGTCAAGAACCAATAGCTCTTCAGCAGCCAGTAGGGCTTCTATGCTATTCGTCCTGGAACGCTGATTGCTTGCTCTTGTACAGACCTTTAGCAGGCAGCCATGGCTGTTGTGAGTTCATGAGTACAGTGCTCATGTGGGGAAGAGTATGGTCATCCCAGGTCTCTAGCTCTTAAAACCATTCCCCCTCCTCTTTCTCAGTGTCCCTTGGGTGGAGGTGACCTGCTGTAGGTGTCCCATTTATGGCCGAGCACGCCACAGACATTAGTTCTTTGCACTTTGGCCAGTTGGGACTCTAATCTGGTATGCATAGCAAAAAGAAGCGTCTCTGATGGGAGCTGAGGGTTGCACTGATCTATTAGTATTTACAAGGCAGTTTGATACTATGTCCGTTTAGCAAAATCCTCTTAGAAACAGATTGACTTCTAAGCTAGGAGTCCCCAGCTGCTGGCTCTTGGCCAAATTTACAATACCTGGCTGCCCAGTTACCTACTGTAGAGTGGAACTTAAACCCAACCATTATGTCCATGGCACTACCACACCCGTTGGTATGTTACTATAGCTCACAGGGTTCACCACTGGGTAGACTGTGGATTACTTTTCTTCCTCAGAAACTGGATAGCACCTTCCAGTATTATGAAAGCCAATCAACAAGGAGGAAACATCCTGGTCAGTACCTGCCCAAGGAAGCCAGAAGAGAGTGTCAGATCCCAGACACCCCTAGAGCTGGAGTTACAGGCAGTTAGTTGGGAGCCACACACATGGGTACCCGGAACCTAGCTAGCTAGGTCCACGGGAAGAGCAGCGTGCACTTAACCACCGAGCCCTCTCTCCAGAACCCCATAGCTATAATTCTTAAGGAACCAAGCCACACTTGGTTCAGGAAACCATTGGAAATAACATGTAGGGCCATTAATGCTGGGGGGGGGGGAACTCTGAAGAAATAGATTATGATCTCATATTTAACATGCTGCCAGAAAGGTCAGTGTCTGAGCTACTGGCTTCCCTGGCTGTTTGCTAGCTGTGTTGCCTTCAGTAAGCTGCTTAACGTCTCTGATTTTTTTTGCATATTATTAAAAGACGATGATGTACAGCATTACCCAGAGGGTGGGAAAGCATGAACTCTGGCTGGTACAGAGTAGACACTCTGTAAAAGGTGACGTCACCTCTTTTCCTACCACTTGTCTTCTGCGGTTGAACTCGGGGTGAAACTAACTGAGCACACTGCATGAGCATTACTTCCTGTGCCTCCAACCTTCTCCACAACACCTGGTAACGAAAATACACAGAGGTAACTGAGCCTGTGAGACCAACTTGACCAAAAGCTGTTAGTTTTTCAAAACTTATTTTGGAGCTGAATGTGGTGGCCCATGCATGGAATCCCAGCACTCAGGAGGCAGAGGCAGGAGACCCACAAATTGGAGGCCAGCCTGGTCTGCATAACGAGTTCCAGACCAGCCAGGGCCACGTAGGAAATCCCTGCCTCGAAACAAACCCAGAGCCCGATTTGAGCAAGCTAGGCATGATGCTGCATGCCTGCAACCCCAGAGGCTGCAAGACCAAGGCCACTCTGGGCGACAGAAACACTTGTCTAAACAGACCTACAAATGGAAACAAACAAATAAAAAACAAAACCATTTCTCCAAAGGATGTAAAGATACTTTAATTCAGAACTACATTTTTAAGTCTGTTGTTGTGGTATACAGTCATAAGATCAACTCCTTGGGAACCTGAGGCAGGAGGATGACAAGTTAGAGGCTTGCCTAGGAGATTTAGTTGAGACACTGTCCAAAATTTCCCCCAAAGGGAATATGGCTCATCAGTAGAGCATGTAGAGGGATACCTGAGTTCTTTCCCCTGGTATTGAGTATGTGTAACATGCAATATCTGAAAACCAGCAGCCATCTTGACCTCTATTCTACTTTTTTTTTCTGTAACAACTTCTTGGAAACTAAAAGGAAAAATACGAATTATGAAGGTAGATGGTTTGAACATACCCACTGGAAACATTCACTTGCAGAGAAGTGTAAGACATTTAAGGCACCACAGCAAGGGCGGTGAAGGGGTACAGAGACCTGCAGATGTTCCCGCTGCTCTTGAACCAACAGGAAACATCTGGTTCAGCCTGGGGCCAGAAGTTGTGTCACAGCCCTTTTATACGGAGCTTATAGTGCTATCAATTACAATGTATTTTTGGAAAAAGCCTGCTTTGGGAGTTCTGACATTAGTCATAGCAAGCCTGTCTGCTTTTAAATTGACTTTTTTTTTTTTTTAAATGCTGTACATGTTGACAGAAACTGGGGGAAAGTAAATTTCCAATTAGAGTACTAGACGTTGGGGGATTCCGTAATGTGCCTGGTTCCCCCCCCCCCACCCCCAGGAGTCTGCAAACAGAGACTCTCCACAGTTCCTTACACAGCACAAGGCTCTGCTTGGTCAACCCAAAACTCATTTTCCACTACAGGTGTATGTCCAGTCTTAGCCTTAGCTTCTCAGGGCCACCTCAGTTTAAATGAATAGATATTATTAGAACATAAAATGTTTGCCCCATCCCTCAATTGTTTGCCTTTGCACTCACCTCAGCCCAGGGACCCACCACTTGACTTACCTTTTCCTATCCCAAGAAACACCTGGTCTGGATCATTCTTCCTTTGGCTTCCATTTCTCTGGCCTGTCATCACCCCCCCCCCCCCCCCCAGTTAGCCTCCTTCCTTTCTAAAGTAATGTCTCCTTGCTTTTGACTGACACCAGTAAACAGGGAGTCTGGGTGTGGTGGCACACTGCTTTAATCCCAGCACTCGGGGCAGAATCTGGTGGACCTCTTCCAGTTCAGGGACAGCCTGGTCTACAAAGAGCCCCGAGCCAGCCAGGGCTGCATAGTGAAACCCTGTCTCAAAAAAACAACAAAGTAGCCACCTAGTCCCCTGCAACCAGAAATTGCAGGTCCCTGTCTCCCCGGCTCCCTAAACTCAGAGCTTGATCCCCTTGGTGGTTCCCAACTGTAATGCCAGCACTAGGGAGGTAGAGGCATGGGGATCAGAAGTTCAAGACCAGCCTCAGCCTAAGTCAGTTTGTAGCCAGCCTGGGGATCATGAGACCCTAAAAAGGGACAGGGGGAGGAGGGGGGAATTACATCTTTCGCTTCTTTGTTGTGACAGACTGAAAGGAAAAATTAGCTAATCACACTTCTTTGAGCCCTTGTTAAATGACCTTATAGGTACAGTATGTGTATGAATTAAGATCTTTGAGGACAAGTTATTGAAAATAAATGTGGAGTGGTTATAAGTTGAACCTGGTGGGTGGCAGTTATAAACTCCACAGCCAGGTGCAAAGCTTTGCCAAGTAAAACCAATAAAATGATGTTTAGAGATATCTTTCACCAACAATATTACTCTGGGCAAAGAAGTTTGCTCCTTGTTGAGATAATTCAGAAAGTATTCAGGGCTCAGAGAAAACCCCATAGAAAGGTCCTTTAACAATGCACTGTGGCCTCTAGACTATGAGGTAAGCTCAGACACCATCTTCCAGCCCACATTATGCATCATTTGCAGAGGACTTGACAAGACATGAGTTACCACAGTTACATGCCTGGGGCACAGCCATGACCTAAGACTAATTGCTTCACAAACACAGTCAGGAATAGAACATCATATGATTTCAATTTTGATCTCTACACCCAGTCTGCTGGCTTCTTCCTCCACTAATGAAATTGA